CTTGCGGGGTCGCCCTGCAAGATGCCCGAGGGGGCCGGGGGGGGGGCAGCGGGCGGGAGCGAGTGGCGGCAAAACATTGCGCCCTCTCGTAGTTGACCCGCAGGGCCGCCTGGAGGCCGAGTGGCGCCATCATCTGCTGGGTGGCGAGGAAGATCCAGGCATGCTCGAGGCTCGGGAAGGCCTGGCCGAAGCTGAAGGACGTGAGCATCGGGAAGTGCCGGCTGGTAGACCATTTAGGGCACCGACGCTGCTGTAGCCCCCATCAGGCGCTGTGTCCTTTGGGGATCGGCTGGCGGATCAGAAAAGGCATTGATGTGGCTGTCGCTCCCCGCGCGGCACGGTGCCCTTTTGGCGTGGGCTGGCGGGCCAGAAGGGGCACCGATGCTCTGGGCCTTCGTGGCAGCGACGCGTGAGTAAGCGTCGAGCTCGGCAGTGTTGGGGCAACATTTGCGGCCGCGCAGGAAGCTTTTGCGCGCGGGGGCGCAGTGGATCTCGGCCGCGCCCCCCCTCTGCAAAAGTCGATGGTCCACGTGACTGATTTCTTCGAACTGTTCTCCAGCGCCAGCGGCCTACTCTGTCCGGGCCGCCGAATGACTTCGCGAGGGCCCTCGAGCCGCGCGCTCGCGGCAGGCAAGATCGCAACGCTGTGCTTCCAGCAGCTGCACGCGGGGAATCCAGCCATCTGCCAATGCCTCGCAAGAGCCAGGGTTCTCCTGCCCATCCTGGAACTCAGCCTCGCTTTCGGACCGAGCCCGTCTGGCCCAGGTGTGGCGCGGCAAACCATCCGAAGCGCCAGAGCGATGGTGGGCTCTGTCGGCGGCTGTTGGAGGCTCCAGTCTACGTCTTTAACGCCGAACTCGTCCAGCTAAATCTCCTACGCCTGTCCCTTCTTCATCTCTCCCTGCGACGGCTGCGGGTCCAGGGGGGTCAGCCGGCCGTTGCGGAGCGTCCGTGGCTCCAGACCGCGGTGGAGGGCCGGGGCGCGAAGTCGACCTTCCGCATCGGTAACTCCAGCGGGGGGTTCGATCTGGATGACCTGCGATGCCCGCGGGCAGCTGCGCATCAGACATTTGGCCAGCGTCGGATCCTGTCGCCGCACCGCGCGCCCCAACTGCCTCCGCATCATGGCCGAGGGGGCCTTGCCGCCCAGGGCGTTCCGTAAGATGGCGCGTCGACTGGCCGCTGCAACGCGCTGCAAAAACCGCCCGTGAATGCGAATCCTTGCGGGCGGGGGGGCGATGCTCGAGCAGGGCCGCCTCTTCGTAGGTCTGGACCACCGGGCCGAAGCGAGGGCGGTCGGGGATGAAGTCGGGGATCAGCGCGACGTTGCCCGAGGTCTGCCGCTCTGGCCTCGGGCGGGGAGACCAAGCTGAGCCGAGCTGCTGGGGGCGTGGCGTGATCGGAGAACCCCTGCGCGTATAGCTCATGCGCAGCGCCGTGATCCTGCCCATGCTGCCGTGATTGTGCTGGCGCCCGCCGAAGGGCACCGATGCGTATCTTGTCGATCGGGGTGGCGAGCTGCCGGCCTCGGCGCGGCCGGGCGGGCCCGGGCGCGACCGTCTCCGTTGCCAGTCGGAGAGCCTGCTGCCGGCGGCGACCGCGGGGGTGGAGAGCAGCGCGGGGCTCGCCGCCAGGAACGAGCGGGCCCTCCACCTCGGCGTTCCCACCGTGGATGAAATCCCCCGAGATGATGACGAAGTGACCGTGGGGGCCGCCACCCTTCGTTGGAGGCCCGCGCGGATAGCCCACGCCGCCCTAGCACCCTGCTCACGTGACAGATCGTGGTCGCGGATGTTCCGGTGCGTCACGAAGTATCCTGCTTCTGCCCAAGCTTCCACGACAGCGCATGCTCGCAGCGCTTTAGCACAAGCATGGAAACGCGATCGAAGGACAACTCCAGGACGCTGCTTGACAGGGAAGATCGTAGCAACACCTCCAAAGGCCTCCCGATCCACGGGGGGGGAAGAGCGCGAAGAAGAGGAGGAAGATGAGTGACTGCCGTCGGGGCCCGAAGGGGAGTTGTCCAAACTGTGGAGGAGCTGGTGCTCCAAGCCCATGCGATCTATCAGGCCGCGCAGGCGCGCGGCCGACCCGCGGACCTCCTGCGTGCCAGCGATGGCCCCTGCACGGAGAACGGGGCAAATGTAATCGAGCTTCTTCTTAGCAGTGCGCAGCTGGTGGTGACAGAGCACCCTCGCGTTCCAGGGGGCACAGCGCAAGCCTGGGTTCTCCATTGGCTTGCTGAACAGCCGCGCGATGGTGCTAAGGAGACCAATCTTCCTGTCCGGGTGCCAGAACTGCCGCCGCCGTCGGTTCCGACCCCGCGCGGTTGAAGCCGAGCTCCTGCAGCGCAGTCGGCGACCAAGTGGACGTGGGGGGGTGGCGGCGGAGGTGGCGCTCGAGACCCGCATGAAGGCCCTTCGCGACATGGTGATGGAGCGGGCCATCTTATCAACGAAAATGTTTCTGTCGGCCCCGACCATCCTGCCAAGCGCCTTCGCCGGACGATTGTGGCGGATCTCATGCGCCACCTTCGTGCGGCTCTGGTCCGCGCAGACGTTGATCGGCGCCGAGGGTCCTGCTGGAGTGTCGGTTCGGAGCTCGCGGCTTTGTCCACGGCCGATGCGCGTGCGTAGCAGGACCTTGCGAGCCCGGCGAACTCTCAGCTCGGTAGCGCCTCTGCAGTGGGGCACGCTTCACTTGCCCAACGGCTCTGCCTCAACGGCGTAGTCAGCCTCTGCCACGCCTGCGTCGGCAAGGCGGGGCGCGGCAGAGGCGAGGAAGTTGGCCTTCGGCAGGTCCTCCTTGCAGCGAGGAGCCGTCGCGGCCGCGTCGGACTCCCACCTTCGACAGAAAACCTATATCCTCCCTGATGTGGGCGGTGATCTGCCTGATCCACCCTCTGCTCGACCGCGCCAACGCGGGACTCCATGGTCGAGGTGATGTGGGCGACACCAGCCGTGAGGGAAGCGTCCATGCTGGCGATGATGGCGGACTGGGTCTGCTGGAGGACGGAGTGCTGGTCGATCGGCGGGCCACCAGAGGCAGCAGCGGGAGGAGGGCCCGGAGGAGCGAAGGCGGGCGGGTGGCCGCGCGCTGGGGCCATAGGTGGGTTGCCGCATGCCCTCTCGCGTTCGTCAAGATACGAACGCCATAGGTCGGCTCCTGCACCACCGCCGCTGGGACCTGGGCGACCGCTGGGGGCAGCGCCAGCCGATGCCGAGCCACCTGAGGCCGTTGGGGTCGGCTGCGAGGGGAGGGTGGGGACCATGTCCGAGTCCAAGCCGTCGCGCTCCGTCTCGAAGGCCGCGTCGGCCGCCCGTTGGCGCATCTCTGATTCAGTTCGGGGGGAGCGCCCCGACGACCAGCAGCACGGGCTCCAGAATCCACAGGGGCGGCTGCGCGTCGACGTTCAGCTTCCTTCGCCCTGTCCTTGGCCCTGCGGAGCTCGGGGACACGGGGGCGGTCCGAGCGGCTCTGAGTTTCCGAGGTGGAGGAGCGCGCAGAGCGACCGCGCCCGTCATCGGAGGAGCCCTCGCAGCCAGCGCCAACAACGCGATCATGGCCAGACTCCGCCAAACCGCTACTGGGTGAGTGCACTAGCCCGCGCAGGAACTGGAAATGCTTTAGTTTACCAGCGCTGGCTGATGCGGAGGTGATCGTTGTGGATGTTGCTCCGACAGGAGCTCACAGAACTCTTCTGGTCCGACCTTGGAATAGTGGTACCCGTTCTCTGCCCGAAAAACGCATGCATCTTGAGCCACAATGGCTACGGAGGACAAGTGAAAGGAGGAGGAGGAGGAGGAGGAGGAGGAGGAGGAGGAGGAGGAGGAGGAGGAGGAGGAGGAGGAGGGGGGGAGGAGGAAGGAACAGAAGGGATGAGGCAGAGCATAGAAGAGGAACCCGAATCCGACCGACACCCTACCCTGCCCCTCCGACCAGGCCTCGGAGAAGCCGAATGTCGAGAAGAGCAGAAGGGATGAGGAGGGGTAACTAGGAGGGAGGAGCAGAAGAGATGAGGAGGAGGACTGAAGAGCATGGTTTGAAGTCTTTCAGTCTGAAAGCGGCCTGATCAGGGCTGGGCTCCAGGAAGGTCCGGGTTTGGCTCAGATCTGAAGGGGGAGCAAGGGGAGGAGGGAGGATGGAAGGATAAGGGAGCATCCAATGCTGGCCCTGTCCTCGCTCGGGAGAGGGGCAACTCGAACGGCCTTAGGCCGTTCGAGGTGTTCCTGCTCTCCGGAGCTCACGGGCTTGCTCCCCAGAGTTCCAGAGAGTCTCTGAAACTCTGGGGAGCACAGGTTTGCTGCGGCGTTTCGTTCAGTTCTGCTTCAAGAGAGTCTGCTCTGCCCAATTTGTTGCAGCACGGTCGAGCTCCAACTTCCGCGCTTGCATATGCATCGGCGTCCATTTATAACACAGCCTTGGTTTTCGATATTAAACCCACCGCTTGGCCTTCAAATGCCCGCTCTGCCAATTCCGTGTGGGGGTGGGTCGGCAAAATCGACGAACTTGGCGTGGGCCAGCACTAGATAGCCACTCTCCTGTCTAAGAGCATGGGTGTAGTTACCCCTGTTCACTGATTCGCCCAATCTCACGGAGTCCCTGCTGTGCCCGCCCGCAGCGTCAGCGCCAGGGGGGGAATGCAGGTCACGCCGCGAAGCGCGGAGCGCCCTCTGCCCACGCACGCTGGCAGCCCTCATCTGCATCCCCACCCTCCTCCAGGAGTCGTCGTCGTCCGACGATGTCGTTGTCGCCGTCGTGGTCGTGGTCGTGGTCGTGGTTGTGGTCGTCGACGTCGTCGACGTCGACGTCGTCGTCATCGTCGCCGTCGCGCGTCGTGCGTCGTGCGTCGTCGTCGTGCGTCGTCGTCGTCGTCGTCGTCGTCGTCGTCGTCGTCGTCGTTCTGCATCCTCGTCGTCCTCCTCCTCCTTCTTCTCCTCCTCCTCCAGCGGTCTGAGGTGTCTGAAGGCCGTCGCTGGTGCTACGCTATGCCCATCAATTTTCTGCGAGCGGGGGCCGTGCGCGCGGCGGTGCGATTCTGTCCTCGGCAAAGGGCGAGAGCTCACAGCAGGCAGTGAACGCGATCACGTGCAAAGAGGCGTGCGCTAGACGCAAGACTCGTGGCGGAGGAGAAGGGGGGGGGAAGGCACGAGGGTGGTCACCCAACCAGCTGCACGTAAGTGGCGGGATTCCCAAGCGCCCCGAGGCACAGGGAACGGACACACGGCAAGTTCTTGTCGTGACGACCCTGGCGTTGGCTTCTGATGCCGCGTGGCTCGTGCAACCTTGAACGGTTGGCGGCTTTTCGATCGCCAGGCCGTTCCATATTGGCCCACTCTTGGCCCACTGGCGGCAATCAACCTTGAACGCCCGCGGCGGGGTCGCCGCCGCGTCGACACGACACGAGCCTGCCGTATATCTGGGAAATTGCACGGCAAGGGAGCCGAAACCAACTGACCGCAGCAATTTGATTTCGCAACCCCCCTTACCCCTCCCCTTCCGGTCCGCCCGATATACCCAACTCTCCGACGTTGTAACTTTTGTTCAGCGCGTGCTCCCGCAGCTTCTCGACCCCTGCCCCTGGGGTCGTCTTTCATCGGGTCTTTTGACAAACCTGGGTCCGGGGCGAGGGCCCTCGTCCCCCATGGAACAAAAACGGAAGTCTTGCTTTTTTCCACTGGACGTTGGACGTCTGGGGGCGAATGCAAAGGTCGCTGTCTGCGCCTCACAGTGTCGAGTACGTGCGTAGCCCGAATTCCCCTGTACTGTACACGCCAGGCTGCTCAGGATGCCAGCAGGGGCTGGGGGAACGTCCGCGAAGGGCTCCGGCTGGAGGATTTCCGCATCGGCGTGCTGGCGCCTCAGCTAGAAGCTAGAGGCCTCCTAGATGGGGTCGGAGGATCGAGCCGCATAGGCGATGCATCGCCGATGCATTGGCGACGCACCCGCGACGCCAGCGACGCATCGGCGACGTTGGCGTGGAGAAAATCGGGCTCCACATCGAGCCGCGTTGCCGATGCATCGGCGATTCATCGGCGATGCGGCGAGGCCCTTCAACCCCACCTACTCCGCCCCCATCTGGGAGGCCTAGATCAGCAGCCCTGGAACTCCGACGTCGCGACCTTTTCACGACGTGTGCCTCGGAGCTCTCGGCCCTGTCCCCGAGGTTGTTCCTCCTCACGGCTCGTTTTCTGATGGCCCTGGGGCCTGAAGGGCAGCCTCCGAACGCCGAGGTTGCGAGAAGAAGCGCTCGCGGTGCTTTCTTCCTCGCGACGCTGGAGATCCAAGGCGCTCGGTCGATCTATCGCGAAGTGAGATCGGCAGCCTCCGCCGCGCAGGCCTGGCCGGGGCGTGACCTGCCGCGCGATCGGTGATCGCCACGACCTGAGCCGAGGGAGTGCGAAGGCGCGAGGGAGGAGCGGTGCAACACACTGGCTTTTGCAATTTTTTCCCAACCATCCTGTGGTGTTGGGTCCTCGTTTTGAAGAGACGGCGCCCCGCATCTCCTCTCTCCTCTCCTCCTCCTCCTCCTCTTCCTCCTCCTCCTCCTCCTCCTCCGCCTCCTCCTCCTCCTCCTCCTCCTCCTCCTTGCCTCTGCCCTCCGCATTTCTCTGTTTCGGCACGCCCGGTACAGCGCTTCGTAGCCCCGTAGGAAGCTCCACCGAAGGCCTCAGTGCCAGGGCCCGCATGCCGCCACCTCGCCATTTCGGCATACCCATCACACGTTTCGTAGCCCCACAGAGAGCTCCACCGAAGGCCCCGGTGCCAGGGCCCGCATGCTGCCACCCCGCCATTTCGACACGCCCCTCACAAGTTTCGTAGCCCCATAGGGAGCTCCACCGAAGGCCCCAGTGCCAGGGCCCCCATGCCTCCACCTCACCATTTCGGCACACCCCTCACACGTTTCGTATCCCACAGGGAGCTCCACCGAAGGCCCCAGTGGCAAGGCCCGCATAGCACCACCTCGCCATTTCGGCACACACACCTCACACGCTTCGTGGCCCGTAGGGAGCTCCACCGAAGGCTCCAGTGTCAGGGCCCGCATGCCGCCACCTCGCCACTTCGGCACACACCTCACACGTCGCGAAGCCCCATAGGGAGCTCCGAAGGCCCCAATGCCAGGGCCCGCATGCCGCCACTTCGCCATTTCGGCACACCCCTCACACGTTTCGTAGCCCCATAGGGAGCTCCACCGAAGGCCCCAGTGGCAGGGCCCGCATGCTGCCACCTCGCCATTTCGGCACACCCCTCACACGTTCGTGGCCCCAAAAGGAGCTCCACCGAAGGCCCCAGTGGCAGGGCCCGCATGCGGTTCCATCTCCCCATTTCGGCGAACCCCTCACGCGTTCCGCGGCCCCACAGGGTGCTCCACCTGAGGCCCCATGGGGCAACGCCCGCATGCGGTTCCACCCCCTCATTTCGGCGAACCCCTCACGCGTTCCGTGGCCCCACAGGGTGCTCCATCTGCGGCCCCAAGGGCAGCGCCCGCATGCGGTCCCATCCGACATTTTCGCGCACCCCTCGCACGTTTCGTGGCCTTAGGCGGCACCACCAGAAGGCCGCAGCGGCAGGGTCCGCATGTCGGTGCCGCCCTATTTCTGTAACCCCTCGCACGTTTCCTAGCCCCAAAGAGAGCTCCACCGAAGGCTCCAGTGGAAAAGTCCGCCTGCCGCCGACGAGCAAATCTGGCACACCCCTCAAACGTTTCGTGGCCGCTAGAAGGATCCACCGAAGATGGTGCTCACAACTGCGGTACACATCACTGCTGATGGTTGGGTCCTTCGCCGGTTTTTGTTTTCGTTTTGGTTTTTGCTTTTGAATGATTTTCCATAAACAACTTGTCTGCAAGGGTTCTGTATAAAATTGTCTCTTAGGCGTTGCTTAGAGTCTAAGCAACCACCATGAGGTGCGATGCCGGATCCCGAATCGGTCGGGCGACGTTGTCTCCCATTGCCTCCCGTGGCCTCCCATTGCCTCCTGTGGCCTCCCGCCTTTGTCATTCAACTGACTTCTTTACCAACCCTCAATGTGCTGCTGGGCCCTCGCTCCCCGAACCATTCCGGCGCACCCCTCGCACGGATCGTGCCCCTCAGGGAGCTCCACCCGCGGCCTCAGTGGGCGCAGACGCATGCTGCCCCCCCACCCCCAGGTCGGCGCACCCCTCACAAGGACCGTGCCACCCCCCAGGGAGCTCGACCTACGGTCGCAGTGGGCGCAGACGTATGCCGCCCCTCCGCCGATTTCGGGACACCCCTCCCACAGATAGTTCCCCACAGGGACGCGAATTCCATGATCCTGCGGCGCGTAGAATGCCCGGAGAGGGCTGCATAGGGTTGGAGGGTTGGGCCCTTCGCTAGGCTACGTCAGAGTGCGGGGGCCGAACGGTCATTCGTTGTCCCTTGGTGCGTGGCAGGAATGGGGTTCCGTCCGGCGGATTCTGCTTGTTGTGTTGTTGTCGCGTTGTCGTCGTCCTCGCCCACGACCCACCCGCGACCCACCCCACCCCGCGACCCACCCGCGGCCCACCCCGCGACCCACCCGCGGCCCACCCCGCGCCCGCCCCCTCGCTCTCATCCGCAATTGCGAGCTGCTGCGTATGTTACTATTGGGGGCCCCGCGAGGCAGGTCGACGTGCCCAGCGCCCGCGCGGTCGGCGGGCAGCTGGGGCCCGCGCGCTTGCCCTCCCGCGGCGGCGGCCGCAGCGGCGACGCCGCTCGCACCGGCTGGGAGGTGGAGCGGCCGGGGCCTGCGGTCGGCTGCGACAGGGAGGTAGACGTAAGCAGGCGGCTGGATTCTCAGATCTCGCGCGCGGCATGTGGCCACGCGCGTGTCCAACTCCCGCCCAGGCCTGCCACGTCGTGGCACTTTTAAGGAGAGACGGTGCAGGGCAGGGGCGCAAAAAGGCCACTGGCCGCCCGTGCCGATCCTCGGCCGATGGCGCGGGCCCCAGGGCCCAACAGCCCCCAGCCCGATAGGCCTTCCTGGACCCCCGACGCCGCGATTTCTCTACGTCGTGGGCCCTCAAAGGTTGGACCCCGAGCTGTTTTGTGACGGTCCCCGGACCCGATGAGGGCCCCGAGAGGCCGGGCATCGCCCACGATCTCCCGTCGTGTCTTTTTCACGCCGGGAGGGCGTCCGGGTGTCGAGGCTCCCCCGAGCGCCCCCGAGCGCTCCCAGCGCCCCCCCCCCCCCGGCCTGAGGGCGGCCGGCCCACGCCCGGGCGGTCGAGGCACAGCTCGCCCAGCTTCTCGCCCAGCGTGGGCAGCCGCAGCGGCGAGCGCGCCGCTGGCGGCAGGCCGCCGGGCTCGCTGGCCCATGGCGCGTCCGCCGTGCGCTCCAGCAGGGCGGCGTCCGTGGTGATCTCCGAGCCGCGGGGCGTGCGCAACACGGCGAGGGCCGGGCGGTCCTCTGCGGCGGGTGGGCGGGCAGTCCTCGGCCTGCGATCGTGGAGGGCTCCGCGGCTTCCGCTGCCCCTGGGCTCTTCGGCGGCAACTCAGATGGGCGCCGGAAAGACATGGTTCTTACACGAGATGGCATAGCGACCTTGCGCCGCGACTTACGCGGGCAGCTTCGCGCGAATGTCGGCCCAGTTGGGCCCGTTTCCTTTTCTCGTCGCTCATAGGAGGGCCTCCCATGCAATATTGCTGGCTCTTGTGGGTCGACGCAGATCGAGGATAGTCGACGCTAAATCGACGCTGTTCGACGCTAAATCGACGCTCATGGATACTGAATCGCCGCTGTCTCATCGATCGCCAGACGCTAATCGACGCTGGCGCAATCTAAAGACGGAGTACGAGGACACAGACGGCTCCCATGATTTGGTACCGAAAGACTTGCGCTGGAGCTTCCGCGAACTCTTCAAATTTATCCTCGGATATTCCTGGATTCGCCAAGATTGATCTTGATGTACGTCGACTTGTCTGGATGTGTCTGGATTCTTCCCCACATCCAAAGTGTGGTTCTTGTTTTCTTTGGAAACCCCGAGCAGGAACACACAGGACCACACACTCACTCACACTCACATTCACTCACATACAGACCATCTTGATCACCTTGACCATCACTCGATCACACACTCACTGACCCACTCACTCATCAATCGCATCATCCTCATCATCCTCATCATCCTCATCATCCTCCTCCTCATCATCATCATCACTCATTCAGTCATTCACTCACTCACTCACCCACTCACTCGCTAGCTTGAATATGGAAGAAGTATCAGGCGGGGAGCCTCGTCTGTGAGTGAACTGTGAGGAAGTCTCAGGCGGGAGCCCCCTCCCTGTGGGGCCCACACCTTCTGTTTTTAGTCCGAGCGGGTCATCCTCATCCCTGTAACTGTCGTCACTGTTGGGCTCCTGAGGCCCGAGTATGGGGAAGTATCAGGCGGGAGGCTCGTCTGTGAGTGAACTGTGAGGAAGTCTCCAGCGGGAGCCCTCTCCCTATGGGGCCCGCACTTCATGTTTTTAGTCCGAGAGGGTCATCCTCATCCCTGTAACTGTCGTCACTTTGGGGCTCCCGAGGCCTGAACATGGAGGAATGATCAGGCGGGGAGCCTCGTGTGTGAGTGAACTGTGAGGAAGTCTCCAGCGGGAGCCGCCTCCCTATGGGGCCCGCACTTCATGATGTTAATCCGAGCGGGTCATCTTCATCCCTGTAACTGTCGTCACTTTTGGGTTCCTGAGGCCTGAGTATGGAAGAAGTATCAGGCGGGGAGCCTCGTCTGTGAGTGAACTGTGAGGAAGTCTCAGGCGGGAGCCCCCTCCCTGTGGGGCCCACACCTTCTGTTTTTAGTCCGAGCGGGTCATCCTCATCCCTGTAACTGTCGTCACTTTGGGGCTCCCGAGGCCTGAATATGGAGGAATGATCAGGCGGGGAGCCTCGTGTGTGAGTGAACTGTGAGGAAGTCTCCAGCGGGAGCCCCCTCCCTGTGGGGCCTACACCTTCTGTTTTTAGTCCGAGCGGGTCATCCTCATCCCTGTAACTGTCGTCACTGTTGGGCTCCTGAGGCGTGAATATAAATCATTTCCAAATTAGCCGGACGGCTTTTCATGTGGGGTCTTCCCGTCGGAGTGATTATCTGGATTTGCCTGGCTCGATTCCCGCAAGTCGTTTGGAGAGGAGTCGTCGAGCCCTTCGGGACGCGAGGTTCGGGCCGCGGTGCTGGCTCGGACGTGGGGCTGGCTTGAGGAAACGGCATCGGCGCGGCCCACTTCCAGATCCCCGACGAGCTGTTTTTCCCAACCATCCTGCGGTGTTGGGTCCTCGTTTTGAAGGGACAGCTGCTCGCGTATCCTTCCTCCTATCCTCCTCCCCCCTTCCGCTCCTCCATCCGCCCACCCCTGCCTTTGGTATCCGCACGTCCTTTTCGGCAAACCCCATCACACGCTCTCTGGCCTCATAGGGAGCTCCTCCGAAGGCCGCAGTGGCAGGGTCCACATGCGGCTCCCCGCCCACCGCATGCCCATTTCAGCACACCCCTCACACGTTTCGTGGCCCCATAGGGAGCTCCACCGACGGCCCCAGTGGCAGGGTCCACATCCAGCTCCCCGCCCACAGCATGTCCATTTCGGCATACCCCTAACCCGCTTCGTAGCCAAATAAGGAGCTCCAGCGAAATCAGGGTCCACATGCGGTTCCCCGCCCACCGCGTATCCATCTCGGCACACCCTCACACGTTCCGTGGCCCCGTAGGGAGGCCCACCGAAGGCCCTGTGGCTGGGTCCACATGCGGCTCCACGTCCACCGCATGTCCATGTCGGCAGACCCCTCACACGTTCCGTGGCCCGATAGGGGCCCCACCGAAGACTCAAGTGGCAGGGTCCACATACGGCTCCCCGCCCACCGCATGTCCATGTCGGAACACCTCTGGCCCCATAGGGAGCTCCACCGAAGGCCCTAGTGGCAATGTCCACATTCGGCGCCCCGCCCACCGCATGCCCCCTTCGGCACACGCCTCACACGTTTCGTGGCCCCATTGGGAGCTCCACTGAAAGCCCCAGTGGAAGGGCCCACATGCGGCTCCCCGCCCACAGCATGTCCATTTCGGCACACACCCTTCGTGGCCCCACAGGGAGGAGCTCCACCGAAGGCCCCAGTGAGAGGCCCCACAGGGAGGAGCTCCACCGAAGGCCCACATGCGGCTCCCCGCGCACCGTATGTCCATGTCGGGACACCCCTCACACGTTTCGCTGCCCCATAGGGAGGAGCTCCACCGAAGGCCCCAGTGAGAGGGCCCACATGAGACCCCCCGCTCACCACATGTCCATGTCGGCACACTCCTCAGACGTTTCGAGGCCCCACCGGGATCCCTACGGACGGCACGATACGCATGTGGCTCCACGCCCGCCGCATGCCAATTTTGGCACACCCCTGACACGCTTCATGGCCCCATAGGGAGCTCCACCGAAAGCTCCAATGGCATGGTCCACATGCGGCTCCCCGCCCACTGCATGCAATGGCATGGTCCACATGCGGCTCCCCGCCCACTGCATGTCAATTCCGGCCCCATCCCCCCCCCCCCCCCCCCCCCCCGCAACACACACACACACACACACACACACACAAACACACACACACACACACACACACACACACACGCGCACACCACACCCACACACACACAACACTACACACACGACAACTCGACACACACACACACACACACACCACACACACAGCGACACACACACACTAACACACACTCACACACACACACACACACACGACACACACACACACACACTCACACACACACACAGAAACACACACACACACACCACACACACACACACACAACGACACACACACACGCCCGCGCCTCACACACTCACACAACACTCACACACACACACACACACACACACACACACAACAACACACAAACACACACACACAAACACACACACAAACACACACAAACACACACACACACAAACACACACACACAAACACACACACAAACACACACACAAACACACACACAAACACACACACACAAACACACACAAACACACACACACAAACACACACACACACAACAGCACACACACACAACAGCACACACACACACAACAACACACACACACAACACACACACACAACAACACACACACAACAACACACACACACAACAACACACACAACAACACACACAGACACACACACACACAACAACACACACACACAACAACACACACACAACAACACACACACACAACAAACACACACACACACAACAACAACAACAACAACAACAACAACAACAACAACACACACACACAACAACACACACACACAAACACACACACACACACAACACACACACAACACACACACACACACACACACACACACACACACACACACACACACACACACACACACGTCTCGTTGCCCCATAGGGAGGAGCTCCACCGAAGACCCCAGTGAGAGGGCCCACATGAGACCCCCCGCTCAACAAATGTCCATGTCGGCACACCCCTCACACGCTGTGTTGCCCCATAGGGAGGAGCTCCACCGACGACAAAGTCCACATGCGGCTCCCCGCCCACCCCATGCCCATTTCGGCACACACCTTTCGTAGCCCCAAGGGGAGGAGCTCCACAGGAAGCCCTGCTGGATGGATCCACATGCGGCTCCCCGCCCCCCGCATGTCCATTTCGGCACACCCCTCGCACATGTCGTTGCCCCGTAGGGAGCTCCGCCGAACCCCCCGTGGCAAGGTCCACATGCGCCGCCCCGCCCACCGCATGTCCATGTCGGCTCACCCCATCACACGCTTCGTGGCCCCATAGGGAGCTCCACCGAAGGCCCTAGTGGCAGTGTCCACATGCGGCTCCCCGCCCACAGCATGTCCCCTTCGGCACACACCTCACACGTTTCGTGGCCCCATTCGGAGCTCCATAAAATGTCCCAATGGCAAGGTCCGCGTGCGGCTCCCCGCCCACCGCATGTCCATGTCAGCACACCTGTCACACGTTTCGTGGCTCCATGGGGAGCTCCACCAAAGTCAGGGACCATATGCGGCCCTTCGGCCACCGCATGTCTATTTTCGGTGCACGCCTCACACCCTTTGTGACCCCACAAGGAGCTCAACCGAAAGCCTCATTGGCAGGGTACACGTGTGGCTCCCCGCCCACCACATGTCCATATCGGCACACCCCGCACACGCTTCGTGGCCCTATAAGGAGGAGCTCCACCGAAAGCAAGGTCCACATGCGGCTCCCCGCCAACAGCATGTCCATGTCGGTACACCCCTCACACGCTTCGTGGCCCCGTAGGCAGCTCCATCGAAGGCCCCGATGGCAGGGTCCACATCCAGCTCCCCGCCCACGGCATATCCATTTCGGCACACCGCTCTAACGCTTCGTGGCCCCATAGGGAGCCTCACCGAAGGCCCCAGTGAAAGGCATGCGGCTCGCCGCCCACCGCATGTCCACTTCCGCACACCCCTCGCTCGTTTCGTTGCAAAGTTGGGAGCCCCACCGAAGGCCCCAGTGGCAGGTCCACGCGCGGCTCCCCGCCCATCGCATGTCCATATCGGCACGCGCCTCGCAGGTTTCGTGGCCCGATGAAGGGGCTCAACCGAAGGTATGATCCACATGCGGCTCCCCGCCCACCGCGTGTCCATCTCGGCACACCCCTCACACATTTCGTTACCCCACTGGGAGCTCCACCGAAGGCCCCAGTGGCAGGATCCACATGCGCCTCCTCGCCCAATGCATGCCAAATTCGGTACACCTCTCATACGTTTCGTGGCCCCATACGGAGTTCCACCAGAGACAGGGTCCATGTGCGGCTCCCCGTCCACCGCATGTCCATGTCGGCACGCCCCTCTCACGTTTCGTTAGTTACCCCAGAGGGAGCTCCACCGAATGCCCCAATGGCAAGGCCCACATGCGGCTCCCCGCCCACCGCACGCCCATTTCGGTACACCCCGCACACGCTTCGTGGGCCCATAGGGAGCTCCACCGAAGGCAGGGTCCACATGCGGCTTCCCGCCCACCGAAAGTCCATGTCGGCACACCCCTCACACGCTTCGTGACCTCACAGGAAGCTTCCCACTTCTTTGTCCCGCCTGCCGCGGTGTCTGCAAGTGCATATGGTTGGGTCTCGCGCCAAGCCAATTTTCAATCTGGCGGTTTTCCCTTGATTTCGGCCTTCGAGGGCCGTTTGGGGCCCCAGGGCCATCATGAGTTGGCCTAGGGCGAAAAGCTGGCGCCCAGGAGGGGGTAGGGACCTCTCCGGCCGCGCATTGCACGAATCATGCAGTCGGACCTAGGCCAGAAGAACATCCTTCAGGAACACGGGATCCTCCGCCAGCCACGACGCACAGAACATCCAAGGGTACCCTCCCCGAACCGACCTCGATCGTATACCTCGGTCCGACTGTATCGTCGGACGTCTGGGCTCCCGGGTGGTCATTTGCTGACCCGGGCGGGGCGGCCCTTGTGACGAATGCACGCCAAGGGCGCGACGGATGGGAGCTCGAGCCCGGGCGGGTGAGCCCCTGGAGCTTGGACGCCTCGCCTGGGACGCCTCGGACGCCCAAATTCTCAGGACCTCGGACGTCATGGTGGACGTCATGGTGAACGTTTTCTTATTCGGCGTTTTGACATTGGGCGGAAGGGGGGGGTCTGGCTCTGGAACCCCTGCTCAACGCGACTGTTTGCAACAATGAATCATTTGGGGGAGGCTCCACCTGCCTGAAACAGGCGCCCCACACAGCCAACATCTACTCCATGAGGGGGGGGTGCGAGGGCCCGCGACGATTGGCAAAACAATGAATAAGAAAGCGATCACACGGAACAATCTTGCTCCAGGGCTCTCTTTGCATAGTCGGCCAGCCTCCGCCGAGAAGGAGGCTGGGGGCAGGGCTCGAGTGTGCATAAGTTCCACGATTCTTCCAACGGGGTAGCACTGGCATGTGTGGGCATGATGAACTGGGTGGGCACCGCAATCTTGTTCTGAAGACGCCGCGACGCTCGGAGGATGTCCAACTGAGACATGGGCGGTTCCCTCGTGCGGCCCGAATCTGCCCAATATCGGCCCCGGATCCCTCCCGGGGTCTATCTTGGCATGTTTCCCAAGGCAGATCCAGCCGTGGCGACGAGAAGCTTCCAGGAGGCCCAGGAAGGGCCAGGCGCCCCAGGGACGGCCGCCGTTGTCTCTCGACCAGCCCTCCTCCGAGGCACGACGACACCGCGCGGCCCCCAGGACGCCCCGCCATCCATAGAAGAAGCATAACTGCATATGCGCATGCACCGATCTTGGCCAGGCCCCTCCCTGGCCCAGGACAGGTGCATAGGCCCAGCACGCCACGAAGCAGCCCCCGCGACACCACGGCGCCCGCCGCCTTTCCACAGGGGAGGTCCAGCAGGACCTCCTTCTCCTCTTCCTCTTCCTCTTCCTCTTCCTCCTCCTCCTCCTCCTCCTCCTCCTCCACCTCCTCCTCCTCCTGCCCCTCCTGCCCCTCCCCCCCCTCCTCCTCCTCCTCCTCCTCCTCCTCCTCCTCCTCCTCCTCCTCCTCCTCCTCCTCGTCCTCGTCCTCGTCCTCGTCCTCGTCCTCGTCCTCGTCCTCCTCCTCCTCCTCCTCCCCTCCTCCTCCTCCTCCTCCTCCTCCTCCTCCTCCTCCTCCTCCTCTCCTCCCCCTCCCCCCCCCTCCCCCTCCCCCTCCGCCTCCCCCTCCCCCTCCTCCTCCTCCTCCTCCTCCTCCTCCTCCTCCTCCTCCTCCTCTTCCTCCTTCTCCTCATCCTCCTCCTCCTCCTCCTCTTCCCCCCCACCCTCCTCCTCCTCCCTCCTCCTCCTCCTCCTCCTCCTCCTACTCCCGCCTCCTCCTCCTCCTCCCCTCCTCCTCCTCCTCCTCCTCCTCCTCCTCCTCCCCTCCTCCTCCCTCCCCGCTTCACCACCACTCCCTCCCCCTCCCCTCCCCCTCTCCTCCCCCTCCCCCTCCTCCTCCTCCTCCTCCTCCTCCTCCTCCTCCTCCTCCTCCTCCTCCTCCTCCTCCTCCTCCTCCTCCCGCTACCCAACCTCTCACGCGCGATGCGCAGTGGCTGCAGCCAAAGATGTGATCAAAACGCGGATGCAACCATCGTGCTGCCATCCCAGACCCCCTCGAGTCATGACAAAATCATAATGGGACATTTTTCGCGATGGTCGGCCTCTGGGGGCCCTTACCGGGCCTCGGGACCGTCAAAAAACCAACTTGGCACGAAGAACCGGAAAACCTCGGGGGATCGACGCAATGAACACATCATGACGTCGGGGGTCTGGGATCGAGGGCGCCGCATGAGGGCCGAATGGGGCTTTTCTGGCCACGGCGAGCGCCCGGGCCACGAGAGGGCTTCCTGGCCCAGATCCGAGGAGCGGGCCCGAAACCCACCGCCCCTCCTCCGAATAGGCCCTTCTCTCAGCGCCGTGGCTGCATCCCGAGAAGGGTCTGCCTCCTTTCGATGAACACCTTGCACCAAACACTGGGCGGGCCTCTCGCGCGTGCTGCCCCGCGGGCATTTCTTGTGCAGGGGCCTAGGAAGCTGGGCCAGACTGGGCGAGGCCGCCGAAGAACCGCTGGGCCGATGCGAAGACAGCAGCTGTGCCATTTCCCTGGTGGGGTCCAGCTGGCGCGCGCAACCGCACTCGCGCATGATGCAATGCTGGGGGGCCGCCCCTTTCGCTTTCACGGTCGTCGGGGAGGTAACTTCACCCGTCGAGGTGCACGACCACACGTCGTCCACGCACCCCAGACCCCCGACGTCATGACTTCTTCGTAACGTCGACCCCCAGAGGGTTCGACATATTTCCTGGGACCGGACTTTCATCCCGAATCGTTTTCTGACAGCCCCGAGGCCTGGTAAAGGTCCCCAGAGGCCGAAACTGGGGAAAGACCTCCCGTCATAAAGGGGCTTCACGCGAATGGCACGCGTGCCCCGGCTCCTGTGCACGATATCCGGCAGCGACGGGGGGCCACAGGGCGAGGGCCGGGGGCCGAACCCTGGGGAAGTCGGGGGGGGGGCGGACGGCGCCCACCACGAAGAGGAGTGGCCCCAGGGCCCGGGGGGGAGCGACGGGGCGGCCGGGGCGAAGGCTCGGGCCATGGGCCCCAGGGGGAGGGGCGACGACCGACTGGCACGACGAGAGTAAAGGGCTCCGAGCTCCAGAACACAGCTGCGCTCCAGGGAGTCAGCTGCAACATCCCCAGCCCCTGGCTTGGGTGCTGCGGGTCTGGCGGATGGGTCTGCCGTGCCATGGGATCCCACAGCCCAAGTTGGAGAGCGGACGTCCAGCACCCTGGACGCCGAGATCGCAAACTCCTGCACCTCCTTGGGTCTCTGGGCGGCAGTCCATTTTCAGTGGCCCTGGAAAGCGTGGGGACCCTCACGGTCTCACCAAGAGGCCCCGGGCGGCAGAACGAGGCCCGGTGGCTCGAGCGGCTCCTACTCGCTGGACGCCGAGTCGGCCAAGAAACTCGAAGTTTGCGCCTCCCTGTACGGTCCTCTGGCATTGCCTTTAGGTGGCGGCATCCGAACCCTACCCCAACCGATCATCGATTTTCCTGAATCGATGGGAGTCGGGGGGGGGGGTCGGATTTCGCCGCGTGTTCGGCGAATTCCGAAACTTACCCCAGCCGCCCATCGCGTTGCCTGAATCGTTCTCGGCGAGGGTGAGTTCGGATTTCGCCGCCGAACCTTGACCACCCTGCACTGCTGCCCACGCCACGTTACCGCGTCCCCAGCCCTCACCGGGCGCTCGGCCACGCCGCCCACTGGCCGGTAGCGCGCTGGCGACAGCCCAGCCGTCGCACCATGGCTACGCGATGGCGAGGGTGGCCTCCGCACCGGCGCCGGCGGAGTGGGCGGCACGTTCTTCTCGACGATCGGCTCGAAATCGCCGAGGCCACTGCTGCTCGCTGAGGGTCTTAGGCCGAGCCCGTCGCCAGCGGCTGCGCCCGCCGGAGCCGCGCACCGCAGGTTCTCCACGATGGGCTCGAAGTCGCCCAACGTGCCCGACAGCGACAGCACCTCCGCTTCCTGCTGCTCGGGGTCCGTGCCTCGGGATTCCTTCCTCTGCTCGGGCGGCTCCGCCTCGAGCGGAGCTGCGGGCTGCAGAGGTGGCTCTGGCCTGTCAGCCTCGCCCCAGGAGTCGCTCCACTCGGCCGACTTCTCGACCTCGGGCTCCTCCATGTCCACCAGCTGGGCGACGACGTCTTGGCCGCTGGCGCCCGCGGCCACGCCGAGTTTCTGATCGGTGCACGGCGGCAGCTTCGAGGCGCTGGCATCGTCGGAGGGCCTGCGTGTCTGGCCACGTGCCTCTGAGCCTGTTGCGCCAGAGCCTCCTGCCAGAATTGCCTGTCTGCCAGCCTCGAGTGCCTGCTGCAGTTTTTTCGCCTCGGCCTTGAGCCGCTTGCGCTCGCCCGCGAGGAACTGGACACTGCTGCGCAGCTGGGAATTCTCCTCCCTCAGCTGTCGCAGCGCCACCTCCTCCGAGCCCGAGGAGGCCGCTGCCTGCAAGTCTGGCTTCCCCTGGTCGCCGCCACCCCCCGCCGGGCCATCTTCGGCCGCGGGGCCCTCGCTCGCACGCAGCGCCTGGCGCAGCGCGCTGTTCTCGCCCTCGAGGGTGCGCAGCTTATCCGCAAACTCTCGGTCCGCGTCCGCCTGGGACGGAGTCGCAAAACGTGGTCCAAACCATCGGTTCATGCACGTGGGAAGTTCTGAGGCAGGCCCTCCGAACTGTGCAGGAGACCCAGTAGGCCGGGCCCTTGCACGGTGCCCGCAGGGTCCGCACATGGGCGCCCAGACGCATCCAAGGGACACCTGGGAAGCTCCCCCGGGACTCTCAGAAGAGCGTGTTCTCCACGTCGCCCAACAGAAAGACTTCGCCCCAAGTCCGACCAAAACCTGTCTTGGGGACCCCCCCGTTTGGGGTCCATCCTGGCATCTTTTTTTGCGACCTGCGTCTAGCAGTGGCGACAATGGCCACACCCCGAAGGAAAAAAAGCAACGAGGTACGAGGGCACGAGCCCTGCAATGTCGTGCCGATTTTTTCAGACGTTAGTTCCCAGAGGCCTCGACCCCTTTCCTGGGACCGGCTTCTGTTCCTGGCTTTGTATTTTTGGCGGCCTGGTGGCGACCAGAAGCCTACTGGAGGCCCAACAAGTGTGAACATATCCCTAAAACTGAATATTGGATCCTATTGTTGTCGTCGTCGTCGTCGTCGTCGTCGTCGTCGTCGTCGTCGTCGTCGTCGCCTGGCCGCGCGTGTGCGCGAGGCGCACCAGCGACTGCATCTGGCCGCGCAGCTCCTTGCATCTCCGCCGCCGTCGCCACCGCCACTTCTGGCCCTGAGATCCGACGTCGCGAAAAACAACAACACCTTAAGAAACCACGGGTCTGGGCCCTAGACCTGGTTTGTATGCGGCATCTCTCGAGCGGGATCATTCGGCGAGGGCCCCGGGGGCTGGAGCCCAGACGAAAACGACCGGTGCGACAAAAATGCGCGACGCCGCGATCTTAGGGGTGCGAGCCCCAGACACCCGACGTCGTGATTTCTTTCTGGACCCCTTCCCGGGGCCCGATCCCTCGCCCCGAATCTTTTTGCTGACGGCCCCAGGGCCCGGCGAGGGCCCCCGGAAGCCGAACATGGCCCAAACCCTCCCGCCGTGCTTTTCTCACTCTGGCATCCCCCGATCTGTTTTTCCAATCCCCGGGCCCAAAGCATCCGACCCCTTACCCAGGGGTAGTTTTGCGCCCTGGGTCCACTTTGGGTGGTGCCTCGGTTCGATACCAGACCGCGATATCGAAGACAATTGTCCGGATGGACAAAAAAACACATCACATCGTCGGAGATGTGGGCACGACGCAAGGGGTTCTGGGAGGATCTCTGGGCCGCCGACGCCGTCGTTGCCGCTGTCGTCGTCGTCGCCGCCGCGGCCGTCGTCTTCGCCGCCGCCGCCGCCGTCGTCGTCGTCGTCGTCGTCGACGTCGTCGTCGTCGTCGTCGTCGTCGTCGTCGTCGTCGTCGTCGTCGTCGTCGTCGTCGTCGTCGTCGTCGGCGGAGTCGGCGGAGTCGGCGGCGGCGGCGACGGCGGCGGCGGCGGCGTCGTCGTCGTCGTCGTCGTCGTCGTCGTCGTCGTCGTCGTCGTCGTCGTCGTCATCGCCGCCGCCGCCGCCGCCGCCGCCGCCGCCCGTACCCCAAAATCCGGGACCGATATTTCGCCCCGAATCGTCTTGCTGACGGCCCTGGGGCCCAAGCGAGGGCCCCTGGAGACCGAACACGGTCAAATAACGGGCGCCTTTTTTTTCTCACGCTGCGGGGAACTTTGGTTTTCGGGCCATAACTCGGGCCTCCAGCGGCCGTTCGGGATGATCCGGGCATCCCCAGAGCGCCCTCGGCGAGGCGCAGCTGCTGGAACGCATCCCGAGGTAGGGAAACCTTCAGGAACCGACGAAAATTGCGAAACACCTTCCGCCGTGATTTTTATATGACGACTCGAAGGGGTCTGGGGGGAATCTCTGGGCCGCCGCCGCCGCCGCATCTGCCGCGCAGCTCCTCGAGCGCAGGCGCCCAGGCCGAGCCCTGGCCCTGCCCGGGCGCCCCTGCGCACAGCGCCTCGGCGGCCGCGGCGAGGCCGCCGCCGCCCGGCTTGAGCTCGAAGGCCGCCCTCCCCGCGCGCTTCGTGGCGTCCGTCACGGCCTCGCGGGGCGGACGACAAGCCCAGTTCGTCGAGTTTTTGTTTTGGTTTGTTTGTTTGTTGTTGTTGTTGCTGCTGCTGCTGTTGTTGTTGTTGTTGCTGCTACTGCTGCTGCTGCTGTTGTTGTTGTTGTTGTTGTTTGCAATCCCGGCGTTGTCCATCGCGTCGTGATAAAGTTCACGGCGGCAGGTTGGTGACGATTTTCGCTAGTTCCTGGAAGTTTCGCTGCCTCGGGATGCTTTCCAGCAACTGCGCCTCGTCGACGGCGTTCTGGGGGTGCCCGGATCCTCCCGAACGGCCGCTGGAGGCAAGGGAGGCGGGCGCGCCCCTAGCACGCAGGCCCTCTGCGAAGGCCACTGGAAGTTGAATCGTGCCGAATTCGCAATGGAGAACGGCACCTTCACGGGATGTGCACGGTCATCGCCAAGCGTGCTGTATAAAGTGCTGGTCGCTGTCGTGCCACATTCGATGGCGTAAGGCGTAAGCGTTCAAGAGTCTATAGCCGGCATGTTTTGTATACGATGCAAAAGTGGGGTGGGTTAGTGAATCAGCTCAACCAGCTGGTTTTCCTGGCACTGCGAGGCGCCCCGAGGCGCCAAATGTGTAGAGGAAAGTTCCAGGCGGCTGGGCCGAAACCAGCTGTACGCAGCAGATTTCGTACCCACCTCCCTCCCAATTTCCATCATTTCGTCCGACCCGAGCCTCGTACATCCGCTTGATCTCGTCCAGGACGGTGGCCTGAAGAGGCCCCCTCCCAGACGCCCCTCGCGTCGCAAAAGAAAAGTCACGGCGGAAGGCTTTTCAACATTGTCGGCCTCTGGAGCCTCTCGCCAATCCCCAGGGCCGTCAGCAAAACGCATCGGACTGAGAAGCGGGTCCCCAGTAAGGGGTCCAGACCTCTGTAGTGGGGGCCCAAGCTGTGAACAAGAAGGCACGGCGTCGGGGGTCTGTGCTCAGACCTGGCGCGGTGGGGACATCGTGAGGGCCCCTGCCTCCTCCAGCGGAGGAAGGGAGGCGGAAGAGTATATGAGGACAAGGAGGAGCGGGGCGCCGTGTGCCCTCCCTGGACTCGTGTGAAGCACGTGAAGGGTAGCTGGGGCCTTCTGCTTCCGCAGGGCGTCGTTGTTGCGGTGCAACGCCGTCACGACGGCGTCCACCTCCCGGCTGCACGCAGGAGGGACCACATGCGCAAGCGTGCCCTTTTGTGCGCGACTTTCGGGGGCAGCGGGGGTGCCGAATCCGAGCGCGCAGGCCGCTTCGAGACAGCGCTGGGATGGTCCATGTGGGCCCGCACCAACGGCCACTCTGGCGAAGGGTAACTCTTACGAGCGGCGGACGTATCCATTTCCGTGCCCTCGCGTTCTATATTCTGGGGCGAGAATCGGGGATTCTTGGTCGCATGGGTGCGTCTCGCGCAAGGCATCCGCGAACAATATGCCTCGTACCCACGGGGCGGCCCAAGGGCCCAGCCCGCGAGGCCGTGGATCAGGATATGTCTCCCGCGCGCGACTGACGCGCAGCCGAACCTCGCGGCTCCTCGACACGATCGTCTGCTGCCCGGGGCCCGCGGCCCCGACGGTCAGCGCCTGCACCTGCTCGGCCCGCTGCCGCCGCTCGGCGGCGAGCTCGCCGCCCCCGTCGTCCTCCCCCCGAGGCGCGCCGCCCTCCTCCTCGGCGCCCCTCGGCGGGCGCGGCGGCGCGGCCGCCGCATGCTCCAACTGGCCCTGCGCCTCCTCCTTCATGGCCTCCACCTGGCGGGCCCCCGTGGTTCCGCGGCAACTCCTGGGAGCCTCCCCGCACCGTCTTGCTAGCTCTTGCGAATCGACGCTCGTCGACGCTAGCGGATGCTGCATCGATGCGAATTGACGCAAATCGACGCAACATTGGCGCCTTCCCATGGATTGCCAGAAGCTAGCACACGCTAGTGCATTCCAAGAACGAGCGGATTTTCGAGGACTTGTAAGGCTCCAGTGAGTTGCCACCAAACCGTGGGGCACCCTGCCCCAGACCTCCTCGCGTCGTCAAGCACATGTTTGATCAGCGGCGAGGGCGAGCGCACAACGCGTTCGGGAAGCTGGCGGGCCGCGCAGGGGCTACGGGCACATACGCACACGACAGGGGGAAGACGAGAGCGGCCGCGGAGGAGGAAAACGGGGGGAGGCCTCAAGCGTAGGATCTTAGCCGCGAGGAGTGCGCAGGCGGCCTCGGGCATCTGGGGCCAGTGTACCAAAAGGTGTGCGATCTGCCGAAGGTAGGGGCAGCGCCGTGACAAACGTCGTCAAATATCACGACGGGCGGTTTTTGGCTTTTTTCTACCCAGGAGGGGCCCTCACCAGGCCCGGAGACCCTCAAACAACGACTCGGGATGAAACTCTGCGCCCCGGGAAGGAGTCCAGACCTCTGGGGGTCCACGTTGCGAAAGGATCACGAGGTCGGGGCTCTGGGCCACCAGCCTCCTCATCGTGGCCTCTATTTTGCCCTCCCGCACGGCCTGCCTGCCCTGCCCTCCTCTGTGGCGAGCCTCCGAGAAGAAGCTCTGCAGACGCCCCCGGATATGAGGCCTCGTTCCCGAGGCCCCCCGCGGCGACCTCTGGCGGCCTCTGGAGAGACCCCCGCGCGGGGACCTCGCGACCTCTGGGGGGGGGCCGTCGGACGCCATCGAGAGCTGGGCGCTCCGCGCGAGGCGCGTCGGTGCGCGGTGGCATCCTCGCTCTCTCGCCGTGCCCCGCCTGCGGAGAGGGGGCGCAGAACATGCGGCCAGCACGGCACGTCACGCGGGCGCACGGCCCGGCGCGCGGGCGCGGCTCGCGGGCGGCACCTTTCCGGCACTCTGTGGGGGCCCGGCGCGAACCACGGCAAGCGCCGTCGCGGGGCCCCCATGCGGCCCTCGGCGGTCGCATCCCTCGAGGGGCCGCCTCCGACGGGCCCCGCGCTCGGCCTCCGCTGGGGCCTCCCGATCGGCGCCCTCTCCTGGCGGCCCCGCGTGGCGCCGAGAGGGGGTGGGGCGGCCCTCCGAAAGAGGGCGGGGCCGCTACGAGGCGCCCTCTGCGAGGCCCCCGCCGCAGGCCCTTCCGAGAGAGGCCCCTGCTCTCTCTGAGGGCCCCCCTGGGAGGCCCAGAGACGATGTGTTCTTTCACTCCGAGCGCTTGGATTGAGGTGCTCCTGGGCCATCCACAGCGGCTCCGGCCCAAAAACGGACCCAGGGGGAAAGGACCGGGAGGCCAGGGGGGGGCGCGGATTGGAACAAGTCATGCCGTCGACTGTTTGGGAGGCCGCCCCCCTCGCGCTGACCCCACCGAGGGCGAGGGCTCGACCCTCTGCGGCCCCTCGGGGACGACGAGGCCCCTTCCTGGAGCGCCGTAGCCCGCCTGCTTCTGCAGCTGGGCGATGATCTCGCGCTGCCGGAGGATGAGGGACTGCTCCTTGCTGACGAGCACGGGCCGGGCGGAGCACCGCACCTGGCCGGCCTTCTGCGCGAAGCGCAACGTCGACATGCTCTGGTCCACGGCGTCCTCCCGATCCCTGCCCTCCTGTCCCCCTCTCTCTGGGGAGAAGGGGGGTAGGCAACCTTACCGCCGGACCGCTCTGCCCCGTTTCCACCCTGGTGAGACGAAGACGCCGGCGAAGGGGGAGAAGGAGCGGGGATGGGGGAGGAGGAGGGAGGAAGAGGAGCGCAGCAGCGAACATCTTGCAAAGCGCTGTGGGTGCTGGGGCCCTCCCCGCTGCGTGCAAGCAACAGCCCCCGAAGCTGGCGATGCCACCCTTTTTCCATGGTGAACACACAGCGACAGTCTGAGTGCACGGCGCCCCCTTTCGTGAGGGAGGGGGAGGAGGAGGAGGAGGAGGAGGAGGAGGAGGAGGAGGAGGAGGAGGAGGAGGAGGAGGAGGAGGAGGAGGAGGAGGAGGAGGAGGAGGAGGAGGAGGAGGAGGAGGAGGAGGAGGAGGAGGAGGAGGAGGAGGAGGGAGGAGGAGGCGGAGGAGGAGGAGGAGGAGGAGGAGGAGGAGGAGGAGGAGGAGGAGGAGGAGGAGGAGGAGGAGCTGCTCTCCTCCGCCCCCTGACGCCGTGCGGTGGTGCCACCGCCTCTCCCGCGTGCCGCCGGCACGAGGGCGACAACGCACAACGCGAACGACAATACAAGTGACACCTCAGAAAACCCCAATCAGTGGATGATTTATCGATTGTGGGATCGATAATGTGATCGATCGTATAATCGATAGTGAGGGCGATTGAAGGTCGATCGTGAGACCGAGAGTGAAATCGATTCAATGAGATCGATCGTGAGATCGATCGCGAGATCGCTCATGCGATCTCTAGTGAGATCGCTTGTGAGATCGATAGTGAGATCGATGGAGAAGTGGGTAATGAGATCGATGGTGAGACCGATCGATAAGAAGATCGACCAAGAACCCAGGAACCTGGGAACCTCGCCGCCCTCCAAAATCGGCCCCGAACCCCGAACTGGGAACCCGGAACCGGGAACCCAGGAACCCAGCGTGCGACCAACATCGGCGGGACACTTTCGCCAACTCCTTCAACTTCCGCGAGGACCCCTTCAGTGCAAGCACTGATTGGGGTGATTGGGGAAACACGGGTCTTGCGCGAGATGGCGTGGCCACCTTACGCGGTGGCTTACGCGGGCCAGGCCGCCAGCGCGGCGTGCTGCATTGGAGACGAGGGCGCTCACGCACGACCTTACTTACGCGGGCGGCTTGCGCGCCAATGTCGGCGCAGACGACCCCGTTTGTGTTGCGTTGCTCACGTGGGCCTCGGAGGGGTGCCCTTCTGCTCCTCACTGTTGGCCCTCCACGCCCCACGCCCCCCCAGCCTCACAACGTGCCTCGTTCTCGGTATCTCCACAGCGGACCTCGGCCTTCGGCGAAGGGGCCGCCCGTGTTCGTGATACACGCTCTCGTGGCCCCGTTCTGGCCGTGTTGCTTTTCGCCTCACAGTGTGCTTCGTTCTCGGTATCTCCACAGGGACCATGGCCTTCGGCGAAAAGGGCCGTCCATGTTCGTGATCCACGTTCTCGTGGCCCCGTCCAGGCCGTGCTACGTTTCGTAAGCACAGGACTTCGGGCAGGTGTTATTCGGCATGTTCCTTCCCCCAGCCCCTCCTGCGTTGCTGGGTCCTCGCTCTGAGGGCGCAGCGCCGCGCGTCTCCTATCCTCCCCTCCTTCCCGCTCCCTCCTCCCCTCCATGCCGCCCACGGGTGGCTGGCTGGGGCCTGGGTGGCTTTGTCCGCCGGGCAGGGTGGGATGCAGGTACTGCCGCAACCGATTTCGAGCTTGGGGTTCCGTCCTTGCGCCCTCCAGTCATGGAGGGACCCCAGACGGCGCTGCGGAGTTCGACGCCTCCTCCCCCCGAGTCGATCCGATGCCTGCCGCCCGCCTCCTCGCCCTCTCCGTGCGCCTCGGCACTCCGCCCGTGCAGGCGCACCACCCGCCGCGAGGACCGCGGCCCCACGGGGAGCTCCACCCGAAGCCCCGGCGGGTGCGCTCGCATGGCGCCCCCGCGCCTGTATCGGCCAGCATTTCGACGCCGATCCAGCCCTGGCGACGAGGAGTCTCCACCGGGAGTGCCCCCCCCCCAAACAAACACGAGACCTTTCAAAGACCTCGATCCCCGATGTCCTTCACGGGAAAACAGGAATCGACCGAAATACATACTTTCGCATATCAGTGCGAACTTCTTAGGTCGGCGCCGGAGGCGCCGCCAATGGGGGCCCATTGCCGACCTCGGAAAGTTTGTGCTTCTGTCCGTTTTGCTTCACCAGCTCATTGCGACCTTACAGCCTAGAGGCCCCCCCCTGATGGGGTCAGAGGATCGCGCCGCATCGTCGATGCATCACCAATGCGTCGGCGACGTCGGCGATGCATCGGCGCAGTCGGCGTGGAGAAAATCGGGCTCCGCGCCGAGCCGCATCGTCGATGCGGCGTGATCCTCCGACCCCACCTGCTCGGACACGTTGTGGGAGGCCTGGAGACCCTCCGTCCTCGGCTGGTGTCATCGTGACAAGGATGCCGGTCTGCGAATTGCCGCCGAGGTGCACGGACAGCAAGCGCGTCAGCTTCGAGTCACGGATGGGCAAGTGGGCGGCCGGAGCCTCGGCGTCCTTGCAGCTAGCTGGTCGTCATCGTCGTCGCCAAAGGAGGATACAGGCAGGAGGAGGGAGGGAAGAGGGAGGGGGAGGAGGAAGAAGGATGAGTGAGGAGGGAGGGAAAGGGGGGAGCAGCAATGAGATAGGGAGGGTTTGGGGAGAATAGGTGGAGGGAGGAGGGAGGAAGGAGGGAGGTGCACAGCCCACAACCAGGGTGTGGGGAGGCGAAGGTCCAGAAGAGCGAAGCGAAGGGGGAACATCCAGGGGCGAGGGCATAGAGTAACAACTTTTTTGCACCCAGTCTAATTAGAGGAGCGAGGGAGGGAGAAGGGAAGGATGAGGAGCGAGGAGGAGGAAGGAGAAAGGCGGACATGGAGGAGGAAGACCCCAGTAAACCCATCACGCACCACTGAAGCTGCAATGAGCGTTCCCGTCCCGACTCCCCGGCACGTACTGTCGCTGCTGCCTAAACCCACCAAAAAGGGCATGCCCCTTGGGCCTGCGCGGTGGAAATCCGGCGTGGCCTGACGTGTGCGTCCAGCGCAATACATTCAGATGCGGCCGGAAAAGGTCAGACAACATACAGTCGGGCCGCTGGAATAAGGAACGCCACATCAGGTGCAAGGCCCCTTCTTGGCACCGCGCCTGCGCGCACGAGGAAGGCCAGAGAAAGAGCCGTGGAAGGGCCTAAGGAACCTCGAGCCCCTTCCGAGCCCGAACCCATCAATTTGCGAGGGGGCTGATTCAGACTCAGGCAGATGGTCGGAACTCGGAATCAATCAGCGACAACTAAACGTCGGAGCTGGTCGGTAGCTACGTCAGCTCGCGCGCGGTCTCAGAGCGACACTGCTGCCGCCCCTCGTCCGTCCTTGCAGCTCCTTGGAGCCCTCACGGTAGTTAAAACATCTCTTAATGCAAAACTGCCCCAAACGAAAGCCCGATGTTGAAGAGGGGCCGGCCTCCATCTGTGTAGCTGGTGTGAGAACGCCAACGTGAACCATACCAGTACCAATGCAGTCGGACCTAGGCCAGAAAAAAAAACATCCTTCAAGAGCATGATACCCCCCGCTGGCCAAAACATACAGAACATCTAAGGGTACCTCCCCAGGACGCACACGAGCATCCAATGAACACGAAGAACATTAGGGCACCCTCCCCCAACTGACCTCGATCTTATACCCCGGTCCGACTGCGCCCTCGGCGCGAGCCTATGGATGAGCACCTCAGTGTGCATCTCTATCCCCGCTGGCGTGGCCTGGGCCCCGCTGGCCGACTCGCCCACCAGGGTGGAAATGTATGATCCCAGGTCGAGGGTTCACAGGGCCCCCCCCCAGATGGGGTCCCAGGGCTCCTCAGGAACCCCCCCCAATTCGGATGGGGGGGCGACGACACCGACGCCGACGCCAGCGCCGACGCAAACGCCGCCGCTACCGCCGATGACGACGACGAAGACGCCGCCACCACCGCCGCCGCCGCCGCCGACGCCGACGCCGACGAAGCCGCCGCCGCCGACGACGACGACGACGACAACGACGATGACAGCGCCGCCGCCGCCGACGCCGACGACGACGACGATGACCACCCCGCACCAGTAATGGGAGGGCGGGGGGGTGCACCGGCACCCTCCACCACGCCACGCCCACAGGGCCACGACCACAGGAGGGGTTGGGGGGGGGAACGATCCCATTCGCGAGGCCTTCGCGAGGCTCACGCGCGCACACATCCAGCCCGGGGTGGCTGGGCTCGACCCCATATGCTTTGAGGGGGGAGAGAGGGTGGGCAAGACTGGGTCATACATGCCAGTTCCTTCGGGTTTGGCAGGGCCTATCTCCACCCCTTCAGTGGGATCGAGATACCACGGCCAAGTCGGGATGGGAATACGTGAGGAGGCCACGGGCGAAGAGGACCGCGAGCCGACCCAGACATCCGGCATCTCGATTTTCTCGAGAGACGGGTCCCCGACCTCTCGACCAATTCCCCAGGACCGGCTTTCCATCCCGAGTCGTTTCGACGGTCCCGAAGCCCGGCGAGGGCCCCCACAGGCCGAAAAGTACCAAAAACCTTCCGACTCGATTTTTTCGATGCGCCCGATGCCTGGGGGAGGGGAGACGAGCCCACCGTGGCGCGCACGAGCGGTGCAAGAGGGCTCCTCCGCCACCCCCGGGCGGGAGCGGCGAGCGGTGCCGACGGGGCCGTGGCTGTGGCCGCGAGCCCCACCCCATCTGCCCCCGCCACCCGCGCCCCCCCCTCCCCTCGCCCCGCCACGTTGGGCCCACCGAGGTCCGCATGGTTCGGAGTCAGAGAGGCTGCACCCCCGCGTCCATGCCCAGATTCTGTGCCCCAGCATCAGGGGGAGATCTCTGTCCAGCCCTCCTGGCAAGGAAGCCCGCCAGTTTCGCGGCAATGGAACCGAGCAACAGTTGGGATGCACGGGAGAGGACCGCTTGCGCAAAGAATGAGTTCAGCGCCCAAGGAGTGAACCACGGACATCAGATTGGATGCCGGCCGTTTTTTTTTTGGTTTGTTCTCTCTCTCTCTCTCTCTTTACCCTGCGCAGTCCTTGCCCTCACTCTAATGCCCCACCTTCCCTGAGCAACTCCGAGAATCCGGGCAAACGTAATGAGATCAGCCGCAGACGTTGTGCACCGCACGTCCGCGCGCGCGGACCACTACGCCATGGCCCTTGCGCTTCTCTAGAACTGGCTGGCGCAATACGGCGTCAGATCGACACTTATCCGAAAGGCGTCGCCCTCCTCCTGAGTAGGCCATTCTCCCGAAACGCGGGAAAGGAGGAGGGGAAGGGAAAAGGGGGAGGAGAGGGAGGAGGAGGAAGGGGAGGAGGTGGAGGGAAAAGAACAATAATGAGGCAAAAGGGGGAATCCCACCAGCCCTCTGGGCGTAGGTGGTCTAGAACAGATCCTCTTCCACCCCTCCCTCTTCCCCCTTGGGGAGGGGTTTACCCCTCCCCCTACCCCCTCCCCTGGACCTGGACGGAGGGTTCCCCGAGCGGTCGGACGGCTCTTTTGGCCCCAAGATGGCTTCAAGAGCGCGTCAGAGAGCCCAAGATGAGCTCCAAGATGGCTCAAGATAGCGCAAAATCGCTCGAGATGGCTCCTAAGATGGTTCCAAGAGGCCCAAAGACGGCCCCAAGACGGCTCCAAGTGGCCAAAGAGCTCCCCAAGGAGGCCCCGAGAGGCCAACATCGCTCCAAAACCTTAGGGAAATCAATGTGTTTTGCTTTCTCCCCGTTTCGCTTCCGATGGCCATCCAAGGCCTCAAGATGGCTCCAAGATGGCCCAAGAGGGCCCCACAAGAGGCCCAAGAGAGCCCCAAGACGGCCCCAAGAGCGCCCAAGAGCGCTCCAAGAGCGCCCCAAGAGGCGATGTTTGGAGCTCCTGAGGGGGGAGGCTAATTAGGGAACCCCCCTTCGTTGATCGATCTCCTCCAAGATGGCCCCAAGAGCGCCCCTACAGCCCCCAAGAGCGCCCCAAGAGCGCCCCAAGAGGCGCCCAGACGGCCCCAAGAGGCGCCCAAGAGGCCTCCAAGAGGCTCCCAAGAGACCCCCAAGAAGCCTCAAGAAGATCTCCGAAATGCATTTAAGACGCTTCTGGCTCTTCGGTTCGCCGTCCTCTTCAATTTCTCATCCCCCTCTTCCTCCTCCTCCTTCTCCTCCTTCTCCTCCTTCTCCTCCCTCTGCTCCTTCTCCTCCTTCTCGTCCTCCTCGTCCTCTCCCTACTCCACATCCTCCTCCGCATTCTCCTCCTCCTCCTCCTCCTCCTCCTCCTCCTCTTCCTCCCCCTCCCCCTCCGACGAGGATTCCTTCTCCATCCTCCCCCTCTTGGGGTACGTGACAGCTTCCCCCGCCCTTTGTTATTCTGCATGCTCCCCGACTTCCCTGATCACCTCAACTCCCCTGGTCATCGTTTCTGGATGGGCTGGTGGGGATACGCGAAGCGTCAACAATTTGAATCGTAGGAGGAAGCGCCACCGATAATGATGACGATGATGACGACGATGATGATGATGATGCTGCTGAGGCTGATGATGCTCAGGCTTATGCTGATTATGATGACGATGGGGATGATGATGGTGCTGATACTGATGATGAGGGTGGTAATGGTGATGGAGATGATGCCGATAATGCTGACGATGATGAGGGTTACCATGATAATAACGGTGGTGCTGATGACGATGATACTGATGATGACGATGCTGATGGTGCTGATGATGATGGCGATGCTGATGCAGAAGACGATGGCGATGCTGATGCTGATTTTTTATGCGACTGATTGTGGTCATGATAATGCTAATGGCAGTGTTAACTCTGCTGATGGTGATGATGATGCTGCGGCTGATGGTGATGAAGATGATGATGATGATGCTGATGAGGATGATGATGATGCTAATGGTGATGCTGCTGCTGCTGATGATGATGCTGATGATACGCATGCCAATGATGTTGCCGATGATGATATTGGTGATGATGAGGAGGATGATGTCGATGATGGTAAGGCAGATCACGAGAAGGGTAAGGAGGATGAGGAGGAGGGTGAGGCGGAGGAGGAGAAGGATGAGACGCATGACGCTGCTGCTGTTGATGCTGATGGTGATGCCGATGATGTTGCCGATGGCCATGATGAGGATGAGGATGATGCGGATGAGTGTGATGATGTTGCTGCTGATTATTTTGACGCTGATAGTGATGACGATGAGGATATGTGTAAGGTTGATGCTGGTGAGGATGTCAATAATGATGGGGATCTTGCTGTTGCCGATGCTGGCGCTGTTCAGGCTGTTGTTGGTGGTGGCAATCATGATGGTACCATTGACGATGCTGGCGATGTGAATGAGGCTGATGCTGATGCTGGTGCTAATGATGACGATGATGCTGATGATGCTGATGATGAGGTTAATGATGTCGATGGTGATGCTACTGACGATGATGATGATGCTGGTGATGATGCTGCTGGTGATGATACTGACTATGATTATGATTATGATTGCGATGATGATGATGATGATGATGGTGGTGATGATGATGATGATGATGATGATGATGATAATAATGGCAATCGTGATGGTGATGATTGTGATGGGGGAAGAGGAGGAGGGGGAGGAGGAGGAAGATGAGGAGGAAGAGTTGGACGAGGACATGTGAGAGAGATTGGCAATAGGATGAGGAAGAGAAGAGGTGAGGATGGCGACGGAGGAAGAAGAGGGACGGAGCAGTGAATTCACGATCGAGTGAGGGAAGGATGAGGATCAAGGAGGGAGGGATGATGGATGGAGGAGAGAGGTTCGATGATGGACGTTTGAGGGAGAACAGGGAGGACGAGAGGACGGGGAGGAGGGAGGACAGGGAGGACAGGGAGGACGGGGAGGAGGAGGAGGAGGGGGAGGAGGGGGAGGAATACAAGCTAGGTGCGCTCGCGTCATATCTGACATCCTACCCCTCCCTCCCATCCCTTACCATGGCGTAGATCCTCTCTATACTCGCACAGTCGGATGTTGAGCAAGGCAATGGTCCCGAAAGGGTACGCGATGCATTGTAGAGCACGGCATGACATGGCGTAGAAGAGCACCGCAAACCGTAGTATGTCACAGCATGGCGTGGCGTGGCGCAGTGAAGACTTGCATCACAAAGCTTTGCAACGTAAAGCATGGCATCGCACAGCGGCCCCGAACATAACATTGCATAGCATGGCGTTGAAGACCAAGGCGTAGCATGGCATAGCATGACGTGGCACTTACGCACTGGATATGACAGCTGCAGCTGAAGGCATGGCATCGCGCAGCGGAACGCAACCTAGCATTGCATTGCATGCCGTGGCATGGCACGGGAAATGACGCCAGCGCTGCAGCGGGAGCACGATTCGGAACGAGCGGAAGCGCGGAAATGAGGTCAGCGCTGCAACGGGAGCACGATTCGGAACGAGCGGAAACACGGAAATGAGGCCAGCGCTGCAGCGGGAGCACGATTCGGAACGAGCGGAAGCCCGAAAATGAAGCCCGCGCCTCAGCGAGAGCATCATTTTGAAAAAAAATCCAAGCGAAAACCCAACTCCGGGAAATCCTGTGTGTAAAAAAACAGTACGCGGAGGGGTGCCCGGTATCTTCCGCACGCCATGAGGGGATGGAGGAGCGTAGTATTCATCTTGTGTAATTGTGAAAAAGAAAGAAGGATGAAGGAGGGGTCAATGCGGAAGGTGGCAGGAGGGTCCCTGGCCTGCCGGGCCTGCGCGGACAGCTTCTCGATCACCTTGCCCAGGAAGAAAAGCGACGTGTTGATGGAATTGGACTCCTGCATATACCTCTCGCTCGAGTCTTGCCAATTGGGCCTTCGTCGTCATCCTCAGCCTCCTCATCATCAAGATAAGCATCATCAACATTATCAAACTCAACACCATCACCACCATCACTATCGCCAACATCACGATCACCATCGCCATCACCAAGATCATCATCACAATCACATCACCATCACTATCACAATCATGACCACTATCATCGTCACCATCATCATCATAATCATCACCACCATCACCACCAACATCATCATCCGCATCATCATCATGATCATCGTGATCTTGGTGATCCGATCGACAGTATCAACATCACCATCATCATCATCGTCATCATCATCATCACCATCATCATCATCGTCACCAACATTGTCATCATCGTAGCCGTCATCGTCACCCCCATCATCATCAGCAACATAGTCAAGGCAGTCAGCATTGTCATCACCATCGTTATCTCCATCGTCACCACCACATACATCACCATCACCATCATCATCATCATCATCATCATCACCATCATCGTTGTCGTAGTCATCACCATTACAATAATCATCACCATCATCACCGTTATCACCATCGTCACCACCACAAGCATCACCATCACCATCACCATCACCATCATCATCGTCATCACAACAAGCATCGTCAGCGCCATCATCATCATCATCATCATCATCATCATCACCACTACCATCATCATCAACATCACATCACCATCATCATCATTATTATTATCATTATCATTGCATCAGCGAGCATGCGTTTCGCAAATGCTTGACGACGACGACGCCTACGACGACGGCGACAATGTCAGCAACAGCGGCACGGCGGCGCACCTGGCGCCGGCGCCTGGCGCCAGTGCTGGCGAGGGGGGGATGGATCGACATCCCCCCCCCGCCCGCCGCCAGCAAACATCATCATCAACATTATTATTATCATCATGGTCGTGGTCATCATCATAACCGTCATGGTAGAACCCTGCTACTGCTCGATCCAACTCTTAAAGAATCCTTCCTCGGCTCGGCCTAGCTCTAGTGGAATCTACTTGTGCTCGATCCAGTTAGTTCTACTTGAAACCTGTAAGGGCGCGACCCAGCTTTAAAGGGATTTTGCTAGGGCTCGATCCAGCTCTCAAGAGATCCTACTAGGGGCCGATCCAGCTCTTATGGAATTCAACGATGTCTTGATCCAGCTCTAATAGAATCGTACTAGGGCTCGATCCAGTAGAATCCTTCTAGGGCTGGATACAGCTCTAAAGATCGCTCTAGGGCTCGATCCAGCTCTGGTGACACCAATGAGGGGTTGAATCCAGCAAGCTTCCTCATGCTCGATCCCGCTCTAATCGAATCCAAGTCGGGCTCGATCCAGATCTAATAGAATCCTTCTAGGGCTCGATCCTATCGTCGTCGTCGTCATCGTCGTCGTCGTCGTCCACGATGTCGTCGTCGCCCTTGTCCTCGTCGTCGTCGTCGTCGTTGTCATTGTCGTCGTCGTTTGCCACTGGCGAACAGAAAGTGGGAAACGGGGGGTGGGGTTCGAACCCCCCTCGGCCCCTGGTGGGGGGCGGGCTCGGTTGGAACCTCCCCCCCTTCCAAGCGTCCACAAAATGCGTTCGTTCTTTCTTACATCACGGCCACCACCACCACCATCCCCATCACCATCACCATCATCATCATCATCACCACCATCATCATCAGCATCATCATAAATCGATTGACCAATTGATTAGTTATCATCATAACCATCATTATCACCGTCATCATCATCGTCGTCATCATCATCATCATCAACACCACCATCAGCATCATCAACATCATCATCATCACCACCATCACCATCACCATCACCCTCAACTTCATCATCATCACCATCATCACCATCAGCATCACCATCATCATCATCATCATCATCATCATCATAATCATCATCATCGTCATCATCATCAGCATCATCATCATCATCGGCCTCATCATCATCATCATCATCATCATCATCATCATCATCATCATCATCATCATCATCATTATCATCATCATCATCATCATCATCATCCCCTTCCCCTCCCCCTGTCCCCCTGTCCCCTTTCGCCCTCCCCCCCTCCACTCGCCCCTCCACACCTCTCCTCCTCCGTTCCTTCCTCCTCCCCTTCCCCCTCCTCCTTCTCCCCCTCTTCCTTTCTCCTTCTACCCCTCTTCCTTTCTCTTCCCTCATCCTTGCTGCCCGCCCCCGCTGCTCCTCCTCCTGCTCCTCTCCTCCTCCTCTTCGTCCTCCCCCTCCCCCTCCTACTCCTCATCCTCCCTACCCCATCCACGCGCTTGAGCCTGCAGGACGCAGGCAACTTGAACTTATTTGAGCTTTCCTCCACATCCACGGGATGGGTTAGTGGCCGTCTTTTTTTTTTGGGGGGGGGGGGGGGGCTTGGGGTCCGGAAGTCGGACTGCAATCGCCCAGATCGGGGGACACACGCTCATGGTGTTGTCTTCTCGCGACGCTCAGAGGTCTGGGTCCTCTCGGGCCCTCAACGCTTTACGACCACGACTTCGAGGGGAATCCCGCCGTGACGACAAAGATCCCCCCAAGCACAGAATTTGCGACAACCGTCAAAATCGTTCCCGCCCCTTCCTCCTCCTCCTCAACCTCCTCCTCCTCCTCCTCCTCCTCCTCCTCCTCCTCCTCCTCTATCTCCGCCTCCTCTTCCTCTTCCGCCTCCGTCTCCTTCCTCATTCTTCTCGTCCTCACTTTCTTCCATCGGTTGTCCTCGAAAACAGCGTGCAACTCCTCCCTGTCGGACCCGCTAGACGTGTCCGTAGGGCTGGCAGGGCGGTCCGCCTGATACTGTCTCACAGTTTATAATGTCGAATTTTGACGTTTCCATCAGCTACAAGTATTGAAGCCAATTTCTGATCAAAACTGGCTCTCGCCTCATCGCTGCGCACATTCGCCGTAAATGTTATCAATGATCTACGGGGGCTGAGGGCGGTGCGTCTCCCCAATGGGGCTGCCGCCCGAACGCCGCGAGCTCTCGCCGTGCAGACGTGCAGCAGCTACAGGGATGGAGGACGGATCCCTTTCAGCGTGCGGCGTTCACTCTGCACTTCCTCAGAACTGACAAAAGCCTGGATACGGCAGGTTCGTGTCGTGCCGACCCCGGCGTTGGTTTTTGACACCGCAGGGATCGTTCCACCTTGAACGATCGGCCGCTGCCGCAACGTCCGATCGTTCAACATCGATCGATTCTGGGTCGCCCGCGGCGTTCAAGGTTGAACGCCCGCGCTGGGGTCGCCGCTGGTCGACACAACGCAAACCTACCGTACGGAACACGTGCCACAGCTCCACGGGTGGAGGGCGGTTCCCTTTCGACATGGGGGCCTCTCGCGGGTGATTCCCCTGCGGTCTGCGACGGGTGGCAGCTCCTGCTCACAACGGGGGCTCTCGCTGGACAACTCGCTGAGCTCTGTGATCCTACCTTTCCGCATTCCTGCGAGCTCGGTGGCAGTTCCTTGTCAAAACGACACTCTCGCCTGGATGGTAGGTCAACGGGGTGCTCGTCTTCCCATGGGGCGCTCCTTGTGGTGGACATGAAGTCTGAAAGACACTTCTGGGGGAGATGAAGTGACTCGGGATGGTGTGTTGCAGCATCGTGGATGCATCCTGGGTTTCCTCTCGTCCTCTTGCTCTCCTCTTCCTCTTCCGCCTCTTCCTTCTGTTCTTCCTCCTCCTCCTCCTCCTCATCCTCCCCCTCTGTTGACATAAGGGAAAGGTCTTGGTTGTGAGCGATTGAAAACGAGCCCTGTGCCCAAGGTGTTCCCCTGGACCTGCATTCTATCCATAATCGAATTTCTGCCATATGCCGGGCAAACGACGACCACAACCCAATAGCTTGGAACTTCGAACGGAACTTTGATTTCTTCACAACAACTTTGACACTCCGTCCCCGTCTCCATGCATTAGTTGCCCACCAGGAGGTGAAGGAGGAGGGTGAGGAGGGGGGGGGGTAGCGTCGAGCGAGGGGTGGGAGGGGGAGGGTGAGGAGGATGAGGATTGGACTGCGCTAAGGGGGAAGGAGGAGGAGGAGGAGGAGGAGGAGGAGGAGGAATGGGAGGAGGAGGAGGAGGAGGAGGAGGAGGAGGAGGAGGAGGAGGAGGAGGTTGGAGGAGGAGGGGAGGGGAAGGGGGACGATTGGGGCGAAGGAGGGGGGGCGACGAGAAGGAGGGGTAGGAGAGAAACGAGGGGGAGGCGGAGGCGAGCTGGAAGGAGGAGGAAGAGGAGGACGAGGGCGATGCAGTGGGCGTGAGAACAGGGCACTCCGTCCCCATCTCCATGCGCTCGTTGCCTGCCAGGTCGACGATCACTAGGCGGCCGATCTGCGTGATGCGGGCCTCCTCCTCGCCCGCCCCGTCCTGCTCGGGGCCGTCCTCTGCGGCGTTGCGGTGCGACGTCAACTCGTCGTCGTCGTCGTCGTCGTCGTCGTCGTCGTCGTCGTCGTCGTCGTCGTCGTCGTTCGTCGTTCGTCGTGGTCGTCGTGGTCGTCGTGGTCGTCGTCGTGGTCGTCATCGTCGTCGTCGTCGTCGTTCGTCGCCTGAGGAGGAGGGGGAGGAGGTGCCGAATGATGAGGCGGAGGAGGGGGAGGAGGATGATGAGGAGGACTCATCTAATTTGGTTGAACGTTCTCGGACCTTTCTGGGCCCCTGGAAGCTTCAAGAGGCCTCCTGGGACCTCCGAGCATCTCCAGAGACCGACATGAAGGGGAATGATGAACAGGATGAGGACGAGGATGAACATGATGATGAAGATGATGATGCTGCTGATGATGACGACGATAACGCCGATGACGATGACGACGACGATGGTGGTGATGATGATGATGAGGAAGAGGAGAAGACGGTGGAGGAGGAAGAGGGTGAGAAGAAGAAAAAGGAGGAGGAGGAGGAGAAGAGGGGAAGAGTACAAGGAAGAGGATGCTGCTGATGATGATGATGCTGATGATGATGATGATGATGATGGTGAGGAGGAAGAGGATGAGGAACAGTATGATGATGATAATGATGATGATGATGATGATGATGATGATGATGATGATGATGATAATGATAATGATAATGATGATGATGATGATGATGATGATGATGATGATGATGATGATGATGATGATGATGATGATGATGATGATGATGATGATGATGATGATGATGATGATGATGATGATGATGATGATGATGATGATGATGATGATGATGATGATGATGCTGACGGAGGAGTAGGAGGAGGAGAAGGAGGAGGAGGAGGAGGAGGAGGAGGAGTAGGAGAAGGAGGAGAGGAAGGAGGTGGAGGAAGAGGAGGATGCCCTCCTCCGCCCGCTTTTGGCCTTCAGAGGCCCTCCTCGTCGCCACAGCTGGATGGGGCTCGGGAAGCTGGTCAGGATGCTGCCTCAGATGGGTCTGCGGACTAGTCTTTGAGGGGAGGGAGGGAGGGAGGGAGGGGTGGCGGGAGGACGGAGGGAGGAGGAGAGATTTGTTGGAGGGTTCTATTCATAATGGTTCCCCCCCCCGAAGACACCGAGAAGCCCCCGACAACTCGAGAAAGTTCAAAGAATTCCCCCTCCTCCCCTGGAGGCCTCTGGAGGTCCCAGGGGATCCTCCAGAGGTTTCCAGAAGCCCAGACAAAGCCCCGAAAGCCAACACAAACTTGATCCCCCTCGGCCCCCCCCTCCTCCTCCCTCTCCTCCTCCTCCTCCTCCTCCTCCTCCTCCTCCTCCTCCTCCTCCTCCTCCTCCTCCTCCTCCTCCATCCGTGTCCATTATACATGAATGCGCCCCCGAGAGTCAGAGAGAGAGAGAGAGAGAGAGAGGATCGAGGATAACTGATCGAGGCCTGAGAGCGCTTTATGGATCCCAGGAGGCCTCTGGGGACAGGCTGGAGGCCCCTAGAGGGCGCAAACCTCTGGCACCGGCATCACGAACAGCCCGCCCCGGCGGCCAGAGTCCCATGTCGTGCGCCAGAGCCACACGCACACACAAACACACACAAACACACAAGCACACAAAGCACACAAAACACACAACACACAACACACAACACACAGCACACACAACACACAACACACACACACACACACGCACGCAGAAACCTGACGAAGCATGCCGGTCCCATGGGATGGGCTCGACAGCACATCTCCGAAGGCCTGCGTCGTGAAAGCAAGACGCGGCGCTGGACGCTTGACTGTGTGCACACCTGGTCTTAGAGCCAGCATGGCATGCACAGCGGCCCTGGGCCGAAGCTTGTCAGGCCAGCCCCGCCGTGACAACAGATCTCCGACGACGTGTCTTTTTCAGTGCACAGGTCACCTGACGTAGCACCTCGCGCCCCGCGTTGCGCGATCATCGTCGCGCCCTCGCGCCGCACACTCTGAGAAGGAAGCGCGATCATGTTCGCGCTGGGCGGGTGAGCCAGGATACGCGCATGGCCAGCGGACCTCCCCGTCGCCTCGCGCGCCGTGAGGCCTCGGCCCCTCCGAGGCTGCCGCAGGAGGGGCTGCCAGCGCAAGAGGGGCCCAGTGGCAGTCGTCATCGTCGTCGTCGTCGTCATCGAGCCCCGAACTCTCTTCCCTCGGACCACTTCTTTTTGTGTCCCACATGTTCTTGATGACCGTCATGGAGGCCCGGATGGCCGCCCACTGGCGGCCGAGATCGAAGAACACGCGGTGGCACCGAACAACCCACGACGCCAAGGTTTTATTTAAGCCGTTGGCGTCCCCCGATGCGGGAGCAGAGGAAGAATCAGCAGCACAAGCATAATTTGTCGGAGGGCCGCGCGGAGTTCTTGGATCGGCGCTGGGCCCTCCCAGGCGTGCGGAGCGCTCCAGGGGCGGCGCTGGAGTCGCCGCCAGGGGGCCCTAGCAACTATCCAAAAAATCTGTGCGGACCTTCGAGAAGTTATGCCTATGCCTTTTTCTGTCATTGGAGGTGCGGGAGCCTCCAGCGGCGCAGAGCGCTCGATGCAGAGCGTCAGTATCGTGTGGGAGCGCGAGGACACCTCGTTGTAACGCGTGTGTGCCACCCGCCGACGCTTCTCGGCCTGGGTCAGCAGTGCGACCACCTCCTCTCGAGAAGCGAAAGAACTTCTTCCTCCCCGTGGCACTATCAAATGGCACTATCAAATGTTTCGGCTACGTACATTTCGTGACTGATAAGGCTGCTGAAACAAACTTCCCTGTCTTCCCTCCCCCGATCCTCATCGGATTTCTCTCCCTCCACGCGCTGGTGTTGATCCTGCTGCTGCTGCTCGTCCTCGTACAAAACCTGCGCAGCAAATCGACCCGGCAAAACCAGGGAAACTAGACCAACCAAATAACCGGACAACGCAGGTCAAGTAGAGTACTCAATCGACCGCCAACCAAGACCAATCAACCAACCAGGCAAGCCAGAACAACCAGGAGAGAAGGAGCCTGTGCAAACAAACCGATGAGACCAACTAATCTGGATCGGATCCGAGAAAACCCTGCCGACCAACCAGACTAAATGGCCTAACCACGCCAGACCAAGAATACCAACCAACCAGACCAGCCAAATATCGGAGCATTCATCTCAAACTAACCATGCCAATCAGATCAGTGAGACCAATCATGCGACCTACAACAACCACGCACAGACTAGACGACAGCAGTCAGACCAGTACCAACAAGAGCGAGGGACGCAATGCCAGACCAACAAAACCAGACCAGACCAGTCAGAGCACAACTGACCTTACCAAGCAAACTAGACCAACCAACCAACTAATGCCAGCACAACGAACCGAACAAACCGAACCAAGCGTAACAACCAGACAATAGAAGGAACCCGTGTGACCAAATGGATTAGACCAATTAACCTGGATCGGATCCGACAGAACCCTGCCAACCTAACCAGACCAACCAGGCCAACCGCACCAGACTAAGCAGACCAGTCAACCAGACCATGCAGATATTGGGAAAACACACTCCACACTATCCATGCCAAACAGATCATCCAAACGAACCGTGCCAAGCAGAACAGCCGTACACAGACCAGACCAGACCAATCAGACCAGCACCATCAAGAGCGAGGACTCCAATGCCAGACCCGGCATATCCAGAGTGCTAGACGCCTCCAAATCATATGCGGCTCGCATGAAAAACTAAGCTCAAACTCTAGCAGCGACACTGCAACACGTAACAAGATGCAATGCAGGAGAGAAGTGCAATGCAAACCAAACTGCAATACAAATGCACTGCTTTTCTGACGTGGTGGTTGACGCTGCGCGCTTCGCACCTCCATGGACGTCCCCAAACCACGTTCGGCTTGCACGCGATATCCTAAGCTCAAGCTCTAGCAGCGAAGCTACAGCGCAAACAAACATCACTGCAGAAAACAGCTGCAGTGCAACAACAAATGCAATGCAGAAACCAACTGGTTTTTGGGTAGTCGTGGCCGCGGTTGACACTGTGCGCCTTGCACCTCCCTAGCGGTGTCCCCAAACCTCGTTCGACTCGCACGCGACATCCGGCATTCAAGCTCTAGCAGCGAAGCTACGACGCAAACTATGCAAGGCAGACGCACACACAGGATGCAAACAAAAAGTGCAATGCGATCAAGCTGTTTTTTCTGTCATGGTTGCCACTGCACGCTTCGCACCTTCCTGGGCGTCTCCAAACCACGTTCGGCCCGCACACGAAATCCTACGCTCAAGCTCTACAGACGACACTACAACGCAATCAACAAACAATGCAGACAGACCAGCAACGCACCACACACTGCAAACAACTGTTTTTCTATCGTCGCCGCTTGTGGTTAACACAGCGCGCTTCGCACCTCCCTGGGCGTCTCCAAACCACCTTCGGCCCGCACATCGACACTACGGCGGAACAAACCAACTGCAATGCCACCCACACTGCAATGCACACGCACGGTTATCGGTTATGCAAACAAGCTGTGGTACTGTCGTCGTTGATGTGGTTGGCACTGCGTGCGTCGCCCCTCCCAGGTCGCGCCAAAACCACGTTCGGCTCGCATGCGATATCCTAAGCCCAAGCTCTAGCAGCGAACCTACAGCACGAAAGCTGCAATGCAGAAGCGACTGCAATGCAAACGCACCTGCCATGTCGGCGTGGCCGTGGTGGCCGCTGCGCGCTTCGCACCTCCCTGGGCCTTCCCAAGCCACGTTCGGCACTCACGCGAACTCCGAAGCCCAAGTTCCAGCAGCGAAGCTACAACTCAAAAAAACATGCAGTGCAGAGACAAGTGAAGCCCAAACTCAAGCTCAAGTCTGACCTTACAAACTTGCCCTTTGGAAACCTGGCGTCCCGCCGTGCGCTACATGGCCAAGAATTTAGTATCCAGCGAGGACCCCGACACGTGTGTTCTAGCATGCGATGTGGTGCAATCTACCTGGCTTACTATATGTGGTGCAGTGTATGTGGTGCAATGTATGTGGGGCAATTTGTGGTGCAGTTAATTTCTGTTCGCAATGAGTTGTCCATTCCACTGCTCGCGGAAACATCCCACTCACCCACCCGCAACTTGGTTTGCAAAGTCTCTTAAGACTGTGACGGTGGGTACCAACTGGCATTTGGCAACGACAGCGACGCCGACGACGACAGCGACAACGACGACGACGACGCCGCCGACAACGACTACGACGACACCGACGACGTCTCCAACGACTTCGACGACGCCGACAACGACGACGACGACGACACCGACGACGACGGCGACGGCGACGGCGACGACGACGACGATGACCACGACGACGACGACGACGACGCCGACGACGACGACAACGACGCCGACGACGACGACGACGACGACGGCGTCAACGACGCCGCCGACGACGACGACGACGACGACGACGACGGCAGCGACGACGACAACGCCGACGTCGACGACGACGAAGAAGACGACGACGACGTCGCCAACGAAGACGACGACGAGGGAGGAGGGAGGACGACGACGGCGACAACGACGACAACGACGACAACGGCGAGGGAGGAGGGAGGACGGCGACGACGCGAACGACGAAGAAGGAGGAAGGACGGCGACGCCGACGACAACGACGAGGGAGGAGGGAAGACGACGACAACAGCGACGACGACGACGGCGACGAAATAGGAGGGACGACGACGAGACGCCGACGACGGACGACGACGACGACGAGGGAGGAGGAGGAGGACGACCACGGCGACAACGACGACGGAAACGACCACGACGTCGATGAGGACGACGACGACGAACACGAGGAAAGATAGAGGACGACGTAGGCGACGACGACGACGACGCGGGAGGAGGGAGGACGGCGACGACGACGACGATGACGACGCAAGAGCGCGCGCGCACGCTTTTGTTGAAAATCCGTGTTGCGAAACCTTTTGTTTTTGTAGGTTTTTTGGACACACGATTTTGAAATCCTTCCGAAACTGATGGGTTCTGAAGGTTTTCGGCATACGCGCGCGACGACGCGCGCGTCTGCACTTCGTCCAATTTGTTGCTGAGGATTCTCGCGACGGCACACGCGCAAGGGCGTTCGACAGATTTCGACATGCGCGCGCGCGAAGCCCGTTTAAGAGCATGTTGTGAAAATCTTGAAAAAACCTATGGTTTTCCTAAGATTTCGCAAGAGCTCGCGCGGAAGCTTTTTTAGCAAATCAGTGTTGCGAAACCCTGTGTGAGTTTGTATGTTTTTTGGGAACTCGATTGCGAAATCCTTCCTGCACCGAAGGTTGTTGAAGGATCGGCATGCGCGCGCGACGACGCGCGCGTGTGCGCTTCGTCTCACTTTTTACAAGAGGTTCGTGAAAAAGTGCGATGTTAAAACAACAAATGTCATCGCATAGTGTTTTTACCTAACAGCGAAGACTGATAGGTTTCTAATAGGGTCAAAAAAAACATCATGACTCCCCAGGGGGGTCTGGGCAGATGCCGGACGGGTGCCGGGGAAAACCGGGGACTCCCCAGAACACTATCTCAGGCCACATTTTGACTGCCCGGAGCCAACAGAACACCACTCCCAGGCCACATTTTGAATGCCCGGAGCCAACTGTAGGCCACTTCATGTTCTTCGTGCTCCCAGAACACCAATCCCAGGCCACATTTTGAGTGCCCAGAGCCAACTGTAGGCCACTTCGTCTTCCCAGAACATTATTCCCAGGCCACATTTTGAGTGCCCGGAGCCAACTGTAGGCCACTTCGTGTTCTTCGTGTTCCCAGAACATTATTCCCAGGCCACATTTTGAATGCCCGGAGCCAACTGTAGGCCACTTCGTGTTCTTCGTGTTCCCAGAACACCATTCCTGTACCATATTTTGCTTGCCCGGAGCCAGGCCACTTCGTGATCTTCGTGTTCCCAGAACACCATTCCCAGGCTACATTTTGATTGCCCGGAGCCAACTGTGAGGCTGAGGCTGAGGCAGGCTGAGGCTGAGGCAGGCTGAGACTGAGCCTGAGGCAGGCTGAGGCTGAGGCTGAGGCTGATGCAGGCTGAGGCTGAGAGGCTGAGGCTGAGGCTGAGGCAGGCTGAGGCTGAGGCTGAGGCAGGCTGAGGCTGAGGCTGAGGCCGAGACAGGCTGAGGCTGAGGCTGAGGCAAGCCGAGGCAGGCTGAGGCTGAGGCTGAAGCTGAGGCTGGCTGAGGCTGAGGCTGAGGCAGGCTAAGGCTGAGGCAAGCTGCGGCTGAGGCAGGCTGAGGCTGAGGCTGATGCAGGCTGAGGCTGAGGCAGGCTGAGGCTGAGGCTGAGGCAGGCTGAGGCTTAGGCTGAGGCCGAGGCAGGCTGAGGCTGAGGCCGAGGCAAGCCGAGGGCTGAGGCTGAGGCGAGGCAGGCTGAGGCTGAGGCTGAGGCTGAGGCTGCGGCTGAGGAGGCTGAGGCGAGGCAGGCTGAGGCTGAGGCTGAGGCTGAGGCTGAGGCTGAGGCTGATGAGGCTGAGGCTGAGAGGCAGGCTGAGGCTGAGGCTGAGGCTGCTGAGGCTGAGGCAAGCTGCGGCTGAGGCAGGCTGAGGCTGAGGCTGATGCAGGCTGAGGCTGAGGCAGGCTGAGGCTGAGGCTGAGGCCGGCTGAGGCTGAGGCTGAGGCCGAGGCAGGCTGAGGCTGAGGCCGAGGCAAGCCGAGGCAGGCTGAGGCAAGCTGCGGCTGAGGCAGGCTGAGGCTGAGGCTGATGCAGGCTGAGGCTGAGGCAGGCTGAGGCTGAGGCTGAGGCAGGCTGAGGCTGAGGCTGAGGCCGAGGCAGGCTGAGACTGAGGCCGAGGCAAGCCGAGGCAGGCTGAGGCTGCGACTGCGAGAACAGCAGAATTCTACAACTGGATTCTCACCTGAATCTTAAGGGGAATGCTCCCAGATATGCGTCTACACATCGCTGTTAGGTTGCTTTGCCGGGATAATTTACAAGGGAACCTCAGGGGAGGGATACCGGCAGGCCTGGGATAGTGTCAATTCATATTTAGGATGGACATATGGTCAGAATCATGTATGATTTACGTGCCCAAAAGGGGTACCGATAACGCGGAGGGGGGTAGAGCCTATTCTGTTTTTAGAGAAAGAGGCTCTACTTGGTGAATTCTACAGTCGGACTTGATTGGAGAGGACACGCGAGAGGACACACGACCCTTCCAAGGGCCACGCTGCCACAGAAGTGCAGGAGACATGGGTCGCAAGACACAGGACACGAGGGTATCCTTGATCTGGCAGGGTCGACCTACTAATCCAGGCCGCCTGTATGTGGCGACGGGCGGCAAAGCACTGCAAAGTAACGCAAAACAGCGCAAAATAACTCAAAGCAACGCAATGCCAAGCAGTGCCCAGCAATGCCAAACAATGCCCAGCAATGCAAAGCAATGCGAAGCACTGCGAAACAAATCGATGTAAATCAACGCAATGCAACACGAATCCGCCGATCCTGTCGGCGTCTGTGGGACGTTTTTCCGTTTGAGTCGTTGTCGTCGCCGTCGCCGAACCCCCTCCCTTCACTCGGCCCCCAAGCGATCCAACCACACGGAAATCAAACAACGTCGTCATTGATTCGAAGAGATGCCCCTTCCCTTTGATCCCTTCCCTGCCGGGGGGGGGGGATCGCGGGGGGGGGCGTGCCGGGGGGGGAGCGTCTGGGGGGAGGGGAACTTGGAGGGGTCCCGATGGGGGACCCGGTGGGGCTTCGCCAGGGGGGGCCCGGGAGGGGGGGGGGGGGTCGCCTGTGGAGTCCAGGGGGGGGGCCTGGGGGTTCCTGGCCTCTCCCCCACCACAGGGCCCCCCCCCCCTGGGGACAAGCGGGACAGGGGGCTGGTCCCCGTGGACAGGGGGAATTCAAGACCCCCCCCCGCGTCCCACCTGTGGATAAGGGGACCCCCCCTAAGATCCTCCTGCATGGACCCCCCCCCCCCCCCCAAGAAGCCTCAGATCCGCTCCGAGGCGGCTCCAAGTGACCACGAAAATCCCCCAAAAGTCCCCCAAGAGGCCCCCCCCAACAGAGCCCAAGAGGCTCCCAAGAGAGCCTCAAGAAGAGCTCCAGAGCGTCAGCGTCGTTGTAATCGTCGCCGCCGCCGCTGCCGCCGCCGCCGTCGTGGTCGTTGTCGTCGTCGTCGTCGATGTCGTCGTCGTCGTCGTCGATGTCGTCGTCGTCGTCGTCGTCGTCGTCGTCGTCGTCGCCGCACTCTTTCAGGGTCGGCGGCGCCGGTCGTAAGGCCTTCCCATGATAAAGAAGTGCCAATCAATGGAATGCAATGCAAAAAACGCAAGACACATAACCGCCAGACCGACGGGCAAGCCAGGAGCTACGGGGCGGCGAGGGCGACGACGTAGCCGCCAGACTGACGGGCAGCCTCAGAAGACGGGTGGCGTCGAGGCGGCAACGGCGACCACATAGCCACCATACCGACGGGCAGGCCCAGTTCCTCAGAAGAGAACCCCTCATTGCAAGCAGTGTTTGGGGAATAGACATGAAGTTTCGGCGGCGGCCCAAAGGGGGGCCTCCAAGAAGGGGGGCGCAACTCATGGCCGGCGTCACGTGCGCGGCCCAGGGTGGGGGGGCCAAGGACGCATCGAAATAAGAAGAACCCCCGTGAAATCTAGAGAGACACCCTTTCCCCCGTCATGATATCCACCCCCGCTGGTCATCACCCCCCTCTTGGCCACCCCCGAGCTCTTGGAGGTCAGCGCGGGTGTCTTGGGTCGGCGTGAGGCCCCGCGCCTTCCCGCGCGCTCTTGGCCGATGCGGGGCGGGCCTTCCCTGGCCGCCGTGGAGGCCACCCGGGGGGAGGCACACGTCAGGAGGCGAAGAAGCCCCTCGCCTCCCCAAGCCCCTGGCGGCGCTCTCGGCGTGCCGGGGGAGGGTTGTGGGGATGAGGGTTGTCTTATAGGCTTCCCGGGTGGGGCTCCGAGTAGATGGGGTCGGAGGATCGCGCCGCATCGTCGATGCATCGGCGATGCGGTTCGATGTGGAGCCCGACTTTCTCCACGTCGAAGTCGTTGGTGCATCACCGATGACGCCGACGTATCGGCGATGCGGCGCGATCCCCCGACCCCATCTACTCGGACCTCATCTGGGAGGCCTCTATGTCTGGCACGGTCCTCGGAAGACGAGACGATCTTCTCCTTGAGCCCCTCCACGTAGAAGCTTCGCGTCTCAGGATCTTCCTTCAGGGGCAGGTTTTGGGTCTGTGGGCTGATCTTGCGCAGCAGGTCGTTGCAACGCTCCATGTACAACTCCGCATAAGACATTCGCACAAGGAACTCTGGACCTCGCCCTGCGCCGGTGTAAGATGTGGCCTGCTCCCGTATCAGCGTGAAGAGGTCGTCCAATGCGAAATGGATAATCCCCTTTTGCGGCTCAACATCCGCGTCCTCACCGAGGCCGGCTGGCCGCGCGGTTGCGCCACTGATCGAGTAGGTCTTGCCGCTCGCAGTCTGGCCATACGCCAGGATGGCACCGTTGAGGCCCTCCGCCGCGCTCGCCACGATGCCCTTGAAGGACTTCTCGTACACGTCCCTCGTCGTGGCGGCCTCCCCGAACACGGTGTCCAAGATGGTCTCGCCGTCGGGCCGACGGTGGTCGGCGTTGCGCAGCTCCGTGCGCGACCTGCCCAGCGCCTCGCGGCCGTCTGGTGCGGCCGAAGGCGGCCGCCCTCGGCTGTCGGCGGAAGCCCCGCGTCCGAAAGCGCCCCGCCGCAGGGACACGGACCGGTCCGTCAGCTCCCACGGCGCCCGCTGGACGCCCTGCTGCGGGCGGGCGAGCGAACAGAGACCTCCCAGATGGGGTCGGAGCAGATGGGGTCGGAGGAGCGCGCCGCATCGCCGATGCACCGCCGCCGTCGGCGATGCATCGCCGCCGTCGGCGTGGCGAAAGTCGGGCTCCACATCGAGCCGCATCGCCGATGCATCGACGATGCGGCGCGATCCTCCGACCCCATCTACTCGGAGCCCCATCCGGGAGGCCTAGACTGTTGCGGGCGGGCGATCGAACGAATGTCACTTCAGCAAATGCTGTTCCAACTGCGGGGAGGAACGTACGGTTCTGGGGCCTTGGCGAGGGCCCCCAGAGGTTGAAAACGGGAAAAACAAATCCGTCTTGAGGTTGGCCGAGGAGGTGGCCTTGTAAGGTGGGTGGGGAGCCTTTGGGACGGCGAGGTGCCCTTTGATAAGCAGGCATTTGTGCGACGCAGAAATATGGGGCCGTCTGTGTCGACATTTGCACGCTGCCGAAAACAGGAAAAAACGGCCGTCTTGATTTTTGTTCGATGCGTTGGAGGTTTGGGGAAGCGGCACGGGGAAGCAGAACAACACGTCCGCGGACGTCGGCGGGCAACGCGCGGGGGCGAGGGGCAACGTTAGGGCGGGACTGGCTCATGAGTGACAGCGATAGGGTGGGACTGGCATATGGGGGAAGAAACATCGACCTGGAATCGGCGATATACCGCTGATAGATCTGCGATTTGCCCCCGATGGTGGATCCGCACGTTCTTGGGCGAGGTGGGCCTATCAGACCCCTATCGTCGACCAATGCGCGATTGGGGGTCGATACGTCCCCCCCAAGCCTATCCCCACCCTGTCGTTCGGGGGGAGATCGACCTAGAATCGGCGATCCCTGAGATCCTGGCGTCGCAATTTTTGCGATCTGGGTGTTTTCGCACAATTTCCGGGTTCGGGACCCTGACAGATCGATCTGGCTCGACATACGCCGCAGAAAGATTGGGTCCAGTGCTCCGGCCTTGATTTTCACAATGCTGCATTTTTTCTCGTCGTCGGATCTCAAGGATACGTCGCCGAGAGATCGTCGCCAGGCCCCCCGATGGCGCGTCCGCACGTTCCCGGTCGGGGTGTGTCGGCGATGAGTGGGCGATTGGGGGGCCGTTGCGTCCCCCCCCGGAGCCCATCCCCTCCCCAGCGTTGCCCCTGAGGGGGCGTGTCTCTGGAGACCCGACGTCACAACGAGGTGGAGCACCGCGAACAGTCACGACTGCAGACCTGCGCCGACCCCGTCTCGCTGCGGCACTCTTTTCGAGCTGCATCGGTCTGCGAGGGTCCGGGAGGGGGGGGGGGTGGGGGGGGGGGGGGGGCGGGCGCCCAGGGGGCAGATTGGAAGCTGGGCCATCGGCTCCGTCGGTCTCTCTGGCGGGGGGGGTAAACAGGGCCCCCTGTCGTCCCACCCTTGCGCTGCCACAGGGAGCCCTGAGCTCTGAGGCCCTGGCGTCGCGATCCCTTCGGGCACGGCGCTCTCTCGCGCATCTTGTGGGGCGGCCCGGAGAGGTCGCCTGGCGGGCGTCGGGAGCTTAGAGAGGAGCTGCTCGTGTCTCCGCCGTGGGGGTGGGCAGGGCCCCCTCTCAGTTCGGAGGCGACGACGGGGGCGAAAGCCCAGGGGGGGCAGTGCACGCATCCAAAAGGGCGCCCATGGTCTACACAGTCAGCGCGTAATTACAGTAAGGATGCGCGGTCAGGATGCAAGGGCCTTGGAAAGCCATGTTGACGCTTCGAGTGGGGCTGGCCAGCGACAGTTCCCAGGGATGGGCCGAAGGGGATGGATGCAAGGGTAGCCTGAGGACGTCGCTCATCCTCGCTATGCGGGTCGACTGTATCCCAGGGTGCCCATGGTCCCTATGTCTCCGGCGAGGCTCCTCGGCGAAGGCGTGCGAGGCTCGCCCCCAGGCGGGCTGGCGCCGGGCCGCACGGAGCTCTCTCTCAGGGGCGACCAGGGGCCCCTTCCATTGGGTGGGGTGAGTTCGTGCGCTGTGCCCTACCCAGACATGTTCGCTTCGTGGACGAGACGCCAGGCTCCCAAGACGAAGCCAAGACGAGGATATATCCTGGAGAGGAGATATCGGGAATCTCTGAGATCTGGCGGCTCTGGAGGATGCCTCGGGCGCCGCGGTCTTCTCGGAGCGTTCAGCATCACTCTGCAACGGATGTGCCTCCTCCTCCCGGGAGCCCCGTCCGCAGCCTGGGCCCGGTCCCCGCCCCCCTGCCTTGGCCACCTCGCCCTCCAGCAACGGCCGCACGCGGCACGCCACCGAGATGGTCCCCGCGCGCCCAGGGGCCGCCGGGGCGGGGCCGGCGGGCCGGGAGGCGCCCGTGGTGGAGTCCGGGACCGGCTCGCGGGCCTCGTCCTCGGGGCCAGGTCTCGATTGGTCTCGAGGCTCCCCAAAGGGGGCAGCGATCTCCGCCCTTCGCGCTCCGTGAAGCGTGACCATCTTCGCGTTTTCGCGCCGCCGGCCTCCCCGGGACAGGAGGAGAGACTCGCGCCAAGCTCTGAGATCGCTCAGACCGCGAAGCGCGACTGACTTCGCACCCTCGTGGTGGCCCTAGCCTCCCGTGTGCGTTGGGCGGACATTCAGGCCGGGCTTGTTTCGTCCCTCGAGGGGAACGGTTGAGCTTGCCGACTTAGGCACGTGGTAACAAAACTTAAGGCTGCTGCCAGTGCGGGCGAAAGAGATGCCAGAAGAAGTGGCAGAAGATTACGTACCCATGTGGGCGCCCAGTATCTCGAGGCTCCCTGGTCACCTCCTCTTCGCGGTTCGCGCCCCGCGGTGCGCTCAGGTTTCAGGCGTCTCGAAGAAGTGCACGTATGTGTTTTTCCCCATAATTGTTCGGCCTCTCGGGGCCCGTGATCAAAAGCTGGCCCTAGGGACGTGGTCGAGAGGTTGGGGGTCCGTGTCTCCAACAAATCGACATGCCGTATGTCTGGGGAGGCTCTCAGGTCATCTCCTGTTCGCAATTCGCGCCCCGCGCAATGCGCGGCGCGCGGCCATCGTTGCTCGCTCGCAAGGCACACGTGTCCCCTCAAATCAGGGCGATGCAAAACAATCGCAACGGCTGGTTTCTTGACGTTTCCGGCCTCTGCTGGGATGACCGAGGGCTGCTAAGGGTATAGAAAGGTTATAAGTGGATGCGTAGTTGGGTCATATCTGGCCTAACATAGCTTGCGGGCTAGAAGTGTCCTGAGTGGCTTGAGATCTGGACTAAGTGGTCTGCGCCCACTCAGCGAAGTTACCGAACCCACCCAAGTCTCTCAGGGCACTTGCAGCCCATTTAGATCCACTTGTGCCCCCCCCCATCCTCTAATGAGGGGCAACAATAGGGGAGGACTGGCAAATGGTGAATGCATCGACCTGGACTCGGTGATACATCGCCGATAGATCGGCGATGGACTCCTGGTACACGTCGTTCATGTCTAATCGTGTTCATTTCTAATTGTGCTCGTTTCTAATTGTTCCTGGCCCCCTAGTGGCCAGGAAGAGGCCCAGGATAGAAGAATTAGGAATGAAGGGATCTTGGCCCCCCAAAGCCAAAGAACTTGTGAATAATTAGAAGTGAACGATGTGTAGTGAGTCCGCACCTTCCTGAGCGGGTAAGGACTGTCGGGCCCGAATCGGCGATCAATGGGCGGTTGGGGGTCGATGCGTCCTCCCTATGCCTATCCTTCCCTACCGTTGTCCCTGATCTTAGCCCCCCCCGCGGTCACCCCAGTGGGGGCCGCTTCCGGCCGCGGCCCCTGGATCGTCAAGAGCGACCCAGGATGAACAAGCGCTCTGGGGAAAGGGTCGAATTCCCTGGGGACCGACGCCACGGAACAAATTGTGACGTCGGAGGGGAGGGGAGTACGGCGAGTTCGTGCGGCGTCGGCGCGCGCAAAAATTTTCGACGCCGCCTCGATCGTTCAAGCTTGAATTCAATCGGGTCCAGTGGCGTTGCCGTGTCCGTTGGTGCTTCCGCGTCGCAGAATCCAGCCTTGACCGCCTTCGCTGGCGTCGCCGGCGTGGCAACGCCGCATGAGCCTACCGTAATGGCAGCTCTCCGGCCCAGACCGCGACGCGCGAAGCGCGATCAACCTCGGGCCCCAGGCTGGGGGTGACCTGGGGCTCGCGCTTGTGAGCGTTCCCTTATTTGGCGTTTCGACATTGGGCGGAGGGGGAGGGGGGAGGGGGGGGGGGCTCTGGCTCCAGACCTCTGCCTGGTGCGGCTGTCTGCAGCAGTGCGTCCTGTGGGGGAGGCTCCACCTGCTTGAAACAGGCGCCAAAAAACAGCCGAGATCTACTCCGTGAGGGGGAGGCGGCGGGGAGGGGGGGGGGCGTGCGAGGGCCCAAAGAACGCGCTTCCGCTTCGAGGCCTCTGGGGACTCTGCGGCCTCCATCTGTGCCTCCAACGGCGCGGCCGCGGGGCCACGGCTCCTCGGCTCGCCCCGGGGCCCTCTGGCCCGAGCGCGCCCCCCAGGGCAGGCCGGGGGGGGCCGGTGGCCCTCCTGGGCCTCCCCTGACCTCCAGAGGCCGTGTTCTGTTGTTGTTCTGTTGTTGTTCTGTTTCCAGTGCTGGCGCCCCTGAGGTCCGACGTTGCGGGCAAACGTGCAACAGTGTAAAGCGTCACGACTGGGGCCCTGGACTCCATCTTCCTGCGCCACTTTTCGAGCCGGATCGACCCGGGAGGGCCCTGGGGCCCGACGCAAGGCGAGAACGCCCAGCGTGAAAAATTTGCAGCGCCAAGATCTCAGGGAAAACCAGGGAGCGTCAGGGAAAACCAGGTGCAGGCGCGACGACGAGGGGGGGCCAGGAATTCGCCGGCCCAACGGGCCAGAGGCGTGCTAAGATCTCAGGTGACTGCTTTACAATCTTTCTACTTCGCGCGCGCGGGGCGGCCCCTGGGGGCCCCCGGGCGGAAAGTACCCCGGCAAGGTCCCGAGAGAGTCCCGGGAGGAGTCACCAGGGCGCTCCAGCAGCGCACCAACGCGGCTCCGAGACGTCCCCGAGAGCCCCAAGAAGGGCCAAGAGGCTTCCAAGAGGCCCCCAAGATGCTACATGAGGGGTCCGAGATGCCACAAGATCGCTCCAAGACGCCCACGATGGCCCCCAGACGCCCCAAGAGGCCTCCAAGAGCACTCCCGAGAGGGCCCCAAGAGGCAAAATTCACTGCTTTTCCTTAGGTTTTGGAGAGATTTTGGCGTTTCCACCTTTTCGGCTTCACGACACCCCAAGACGGCCCAAGAGGCCCCCAAGACCGCCCCAAGAGGGCCCAAGAGGCCCCCAAGAGGGCCCCAAGACGGCCCAAGAGGGCTCCAAGACGGCCCAAGAGGCCTCCAAGACGGCCCAAGAGGGCCCCAAGAACGCCCCAAGAGGGACCCCAGGGGGGGAACACGAAACAATATTTCGAGCCCTCGGCCCTCAGAAGTCCCCAGGAGGCCCCAAGAGGCCCCTAAGAGGCCCCAAGAGGCCCCCAACAGGCCCTCAGGAGGCCCCCAAGAGGCCCCCAAGCGGCCCCAGGAGGCCACCCAAATGCCCCCCCGAGCACGCAAGCAAGTGCCAGCGACGCTACACTATGGGCCGGCGGAATGAGCGAAGCGATTCAATAACGGGGTCCGCGCACCATGCGCCGAGGCGCGTGCGCGGACGACGGGGGGCCAGGGAACGCGCCGAACACGTGTCGCGAAGAGGGGGGCGTGCCACCTCGGCGACATCGTGGCCCTGGCCATGCTATCCGCACACCCCTGTGATCCGTCCTCAGCCCTGGTAGTTCGACGAGACGCCTGGCCCCCCGCCTCAGTAATCTTCAGCTCCGAAAAAAACTTCAGAGCGTGAATTACCTCCCCCGCTTTCGCTTCCAGGCAAAACCAAGCCATACCACGCGCCTCCTCGTCAAGCGGCCTGACCAGTGCAGGCCGCAATTTGGCAATCTTTGGTATCTCTTGGAAGCGAGGGTGGTCAAAAGCGAGGTAGGTTTGTTTTCCCCCGAAAACTGGAGGACCAGCCAGGGACCCCCAGGAAAGGGGTCGAGAGGTCCAGGGGGAGCCCGCGCGCCGACACGGAGGCCCCAAAAACGTCGGCCCCAGAGGTCTCGACCCCTTCCTCCCCGAGGCCCCGGCGACGCGAAAGGCCTGCCACACCTCGCGAAAGATCACGACCAGAGCCCCTGGACGCCATCTCCCTGCCGGCAGCTTCCGAGCCGGATCGACCTGCGAGGGCCCCGCGGCCCGAGATGCGGCGGACACGCCCGGCTCGACAGCTTGCGACGCCGGGTCCTCTCAGGGGGTGGTCTCGGCCCTCGGCCCCTCCTCGGGAGTCAGGCTGTCCTCCCGGATCCTCGGGCGCGCCCAAGAGGGGGGCGCCCAAGAGGGGGGGTTCGCAGATCATGGCCCGAGGCATGTGCGCGGGCGAGGAGGGGCCCAAGGAGCTCCTCGAAAGGTAGCAGAGAGGGACTAAAACTGAGGAGGTATCATGGCCCCGGCCAAAAAATCCGCATCCCCCTGTCATCACCCCCCTCCTGGCCGCCCCCGACGGATCCCAGAAGCTGAACTCGAGGAACCACCTTTTTTGGGCGGAGGAGGGAGCCCGACCACCAGGGATCGACCCCTCGGCTATGCAAAACCAGTGCGAATCAGAGGTTGGCCAGGCAAACCCGAGACTTCGCACGAGTCGACCTGCATAGGCAAACTCATGCAATGAACCGCTGCCTGGGAGAGACACTCCGAGAGCACCCGCGAAATCTATGAGAAACACTGCCGGAGTGGAACGAACACCACATCGCCGGACCCTGAGATCCGACGTTGATAGAAATCGCAACATCGTGAGAAATCACGACCACAGCTCCCGGTCTGTGACGGCCCTGGGGCCCGAAAACGAGCGAAAGCGCCCGGCGTGAAAAGCTTGCGGCGCCCGGATCTCAGGGGAGGTCCGGTGGCCCCTCGAGAGGTCCTGCAGGGGGGGCGCCTTGCGGCCCGGCAAGAGGAGCCATACGGCACACAGACACAGAGGCGGGCCGGAGGCAGGCCGCTGGCCGGAGGCCTGCGGAGGGCCCCGCGGTCCTCGGGGCCCGGCCCCGGCGCGGGGGCGTGCAGGCCCATCGCGGCCTCATGGGGGCGCTTGCCGGCCTCGGGGTCTTGGGCCCTGGGCGGCCGCGGCTGGCGGAAGGGGGCGCGGGCTGGCCGAGGGGAGGGCAGAGCGGCCCCTGCCATCGCTCGGGCGTCCATTCCCCGTGCGTCTTTCGGCTTCGTGCGTGCTGCTTCTCGCAAGACGAGCCAAGATGCTCTTCGAGGGTCCTCGCAGAGGGAACACGCACACGTCCGAGCGATGCCAAGAGCCGATGGACAGACTCCTGCACCACCCGCGCGACCCAGGATGCTGGCGCAAACTTCAGCGCGCCCCCCTGCCCCCGATTCAGTGGTGGGGGCGCGGGAGGTGTTCACACATACCAACTAAAAAAATGTAGGATTCCGTCCATGAGCCGAACCTTGGGATCCGACGTCGCAAACGATCGAGCGGAAACGGCGTTGGAAATCGCGACCCTGGAGCTCCCCCGAACCCAATTTTTTCTGCCGCGTCTCGCGCGCCGAACCGACACGCTTGAGGGCTCGGGGCTCGGATCTGGGCGAAAACGCCCGGCGCGAAAAACCAGTGAGAACGCCCAGGCCTCAGCTCCTACAAGTGGACGGCGGAGAGGGGGGGAGCGCAGCAAAGGGGGGGGCGGTGCGAAAAAATATCACGACGTCGGGGGTCTGGGGGGCACACACTCTGCCTCTCTAGAGTCGCGACTGCCTCCCTCTAGTGCTCCTCTAGAAGCCCTTCTTGAGGCACCTCTAGACACGCCTCTAGGGGCCCTTAGAGCCTCCACGCGAATGCTCTTCTTCATCGGGCCCTCTACAGCTTCCCGCGACTCTTTACACGCTTCTAGACCGCCAAAAATTGTCCTCAGTCCAGTTGTGCCCCTGAAGTAACATACGATCGCCGCATTCCAGGCCGACGCCGTTCCAGCGGTGCCCGAATCGTTCCGAACGGCCGCCCAAGGCCCGAGCTGCCGCCTCGAAATGCCGACCCCGACGCACCTCTGGACAATCCCCAGTTCCACGTTTCACCCTGGACCCTGCCTTCGAGGATCGTGGTTCGAGACGGTTTCGTGAGCTTCTGGGACTTCCCCCTGTGGAGGTGACCTGGAACATTTAGGCAGGGTCCGCCCTTAAATTTTGATCCCGACGCATCTTCCAGGCTCGTGGTCTGGACGCATCTGTGAATGAGCCCTCCGCTCGATGTTTCAATCCAGGGCCCACTTCTCTTCCCCGCGGCAGGGGGGAAGAGAAGTGGGCCCTGGAGGACGAGAAGGGGGCGAGGCAGGGGAAAGGATAAAGGAGGCTTTACGAAGGAACGAGAGGGAGTGTGGGAAGCGAAACGGGAGCGGCGGAAGCGCCACAAGCAAAGCGCGCCCTCGTCCGGCTATCTTCGCCCCCGCCACCGCCGCCGCCGTCGTCGTCGTCGTCCTTGTACTCGTCCTCGTCGTCATTGCTTTGTCCTCGTACTCGTCGTCGTCGTCGTCGTCGTTGCTTTGTCCTCGTCCTCGTCGTCGTCGTCGTCGTCGTCGTGGTTTCGTCGTCGTCCTCGTCGTCTCTCTCTCCTTCTCGTTCCCACGTAGCCATGCAATGCATTCCGATGCTCACGCAGCCATGCTCTGGCCAGATTTCCGACGCGTAGTTCAGCGCGCGTCCGGGGGACCCCTGGAAGGCCGAGAGCGGCCCCAGAGCTCCCCAAGACAGCCACCCAAGATCCCCGGGAGCCCTCCGGAGGCCTCGACGAGGCTTCACCATGTGGAAGGACCCTCGAACGGCTCCACGTGCGCCCCACATGGCCGACAGACGAGGCCAACGGGTCCCCAGGCGGCCCAGGAGCGATCCGAGACGCGTCCCACCATAGCCCGAAACGCGATGATGATGATGATGATGATGATGATGATGATGATGATGATGATGATGATGATGATGATGATGAGGATGATGAGGAGGAGGAGGAGGATGATGATGATGATGATGCATCCCCTTGGGGTTTTGAAGGACTTTGACGTTTTCGTTCTTCGGCTTGCGGACGCTCCGCGTCCCATCAGAACCCGAAGCGCTAAGATCACGCATTCCCCTTTGGGTTTTCAAAGGACTTTGGCATCATCGTCTTTCCGGCTTGCGGACGCTCCACGACGCCCCCACGCGCCCCCAATACCGCCCCAAAGAGACACGAAGGGCGCCCAACACGACCCCGAGACGGCTCTACGGAGCGCCTAGACAACCCAGCAGGTCCCAAAGATGGCTTCTGACGGCACATCGTCCGAGCAATTTCAGCGCACTTCTTCCTCGCCGATCGCCACTCTTCGCCCCCGCGCCAGAGCCGTGTAATGAATCAAGGGTTCGACGGCGCAGCGTAGCAAGCAGTAGAAAACTTGCAGATAGATATAGAGATAGAGATAGAAATAGAGAGAGAGAGAGAGAAGAGAGAGTGCAGGAAAAGCAGGAACGATATGCACAATGTCGGGGGAGGGAGAAGGGGGGCCACAACAGACGTCTGAAGGGGAGCATCCGTCCAAAAAACACGCAGATGACCCAAGACCGGCGAATAGCCGACCATTGAGTGTCACCTGTGTCACTAGGATGATGATCACGATCATTCACACAATGATGAGGACGATGAGTTGATGATGAATATGATGATGACGTTGATGATGTTGATGATGTTGATGATGATGATGATGATGATGATGATGATCATGATGATCATAACGATGACGATGGCGCTGATGATGTTAATAACGATAACGATAGCGATACCGATGATGCCGATGATGCTGATGATGATGTTGCTGCTGATGGTGAAGAGGACGATGATGATACTGATGATGACGATGCTGATGATGTTGCTTCTGATGATGAAGATGATAACGATGCAGACGGTGATGGTGATGATGATGAGGAGGACGAGGAAGAGGAGGGGACGGAAATAACAACACATAGCGACTAGAAATAGTGATTAGCGGACGGCGCACATTTCATGACATAACACCCGTAGCCAGCTCTGCCGCTCCGGGGCAGTGGATGCTGAAATTCGCCGGCCCAACGGGCCAGGGCGTGCTAAGATCTCCGGTAACTGGTTAACAGTATTAACAGTATTTCTAGTTCGCGCGCGCGGGGCGGCCCCTGGGGGTCCCCCGGCGAAAAGTACCCCGACCAACGCCCGACCGCCGCCCGACCGCCGCCCGACCGCCGCCCGACCACCGCCCGACCAAGTCTACTCAGAGATGGTTTTCCTTCTGGGTGCGGCCTCTCAGGCTCCCCAGAGCGCGCTCAGAGTGCCCCAAGAGGCCCCCAAGACTGCCCAAGAGGCCCCCGAGACGCCCAAAGAGCGCTCGAAGACGCCGAAGATGACCCCAAGACGGCCCAAAAGGCCCCCAAGACAGCCCAAGAGGCCTCCAAGACGCCCCAAGAGCCTTCCAAGAGGCCTCCGAAGAGAGCCCCAAGAGGCCAAAATCGTTGATTTTCATTGGTTTTTTCGATGTTTTTTGTGTTCTGGCTTTTTCGGCTTCCGGACGCTCCAAGACGGCCCAAGAGGCCCCCAAGACCGCTCCAAGACGGCCCACGAGGCTCCCAAGACGGCCCCGGAACGGCCCAGGAGGGCCCCCAAGACGGCCCAAGTGCCGCCCAAGACGGACCAAGAGGCCCCAAGACGGGCCCAAGAGGGGCTCAAGAGGGGAACCGAGAACTGAAAAATCGAGCCCTCCGCCCCAGAAGGCGCCCAGGAGGCCCCAAAAAGGCCCCAAGAGGCCCCCAAGAGGCCCCCAAGACGCCCCAAGAGGCGCCCAAGAGGCCCAAAAGAGGCCCCAAGAGGCCCCAACACGGCCCCCAAAACTCGGCTAGCCCACAACGGTGCGACAATATGGGCCGGCGGAATGAGCGAAGCGATTAAATATCTCTGGCGCAAAGACATGCCAGCACCAGGAACCGTCTGTGAATGGAGCCGCAATCTGCGTCCCAAGGAATGCCGTCTCACTGACCATGCGGGCCGAACCGTGGTTCCTGCCCAGCTCCCCTCTCCTCCCCAGAGCCCCCCCCCAATCGGGCCGGGCGAAAGGGGGGATAGCAAAGGGGTGGTTTGAGAATCAGCTCACGTAGCTGATTTTCCCGGCGACTCCCGGCGCCGAGAGGTGCCCATGTATCTAGGAATGGGCCGGCGGCGGGGCCGAATCCAGCTGCACGCAGCAGATTTCGTACCCCCCCCCTTTCCCTATCCCCCCCTTTCGTTCGGCCCGACCCAAGAACCCCTGACCCCTCAAGAACCCCCCCTGGAACCTCCAAAAGGCCTCGCCTCGTCCTCCTCCTGCTCCTCCTCTCGTTCCCGCTCCCGCTGCTGCTGTTCCCTCCTCCCTCCTCGCAGCGTGGACTCACCGCAATACTTGCCTGACCTCTGCGCCCTGTCCGGTCCTCTCCGTGCCAGTCCGCCGAGTGGAGCACGGGGCGCGCTCCCTGTCATGAGCATCGTTTGACCGACCCCTCTCCCTGTGGGCGTGGTCTGGGCCTCCCGATGTACCCCCCCTAGATGGGGATACAGGCTGTTCCGTTCGGGCTTCGAGGGGTATATCCCCAACTGAGGTGGTGAGATGGTGGGGTCTGCATTGGGGAAGGGGACAAGGGTCGGTTTTGCATGATCGAGCCCATATCGCAACGGCCACAGCGACGATGCTGTCTCCCAGGCTCTGGGGGTCGGCTCGCCCCCGCCCAGCCGCCCCCCGGAAAGGGCATCGCTGTGGCGAGGGGGGCCGCCGCTTCGCTGCGATCGCCGTGCGCCGCCCTCGATCGCCGCAGGGCCCCGAGGAGGGGCAGCAGCGCGGGCAGAGGGCGCGTGCCTCGCCCGGCGGGCCCAGGGCGCCCAGGGCCGCCGGCGGGCCTCCCGCGGCGGCGCGGCGCAGCGCCGCCGCGCCGCGGGCGGCCGCGCGGAGCGGTCCCCGGCCGAGGCCGCGGAGCAGCTCGAGCTCGCGGCCCTCGGGGGCACGCGCGGGTGGCGGTGGCGGCGGTGGCCATGGTGGCCGCGGTGGTGATGCTGGTGATGATGGTGGCGATCAGGATGATGATGATCATGGCCATGATGGTCGTGACGATGAGGATGGTGGCGATGGTGATGATGATGATGCTGATGATGATGCTGATGATGATGATGATGATGATGGTGGTGGTGGTGGTGATGATGCTGTGGTGATGATGGTGGTGATGATGGTGGTGATGATGATGGTGGTGATGATGCTGATGATGATGGTGGTGATGAGGATTATGATGATGAATAGGCTGCTGATGTTGCTGCTGATGGTGATTGTAGGCAGGTGGTCAATGGCGATGACGCTGTTCTGTCGCTGGTGGTGGTGGTCTGATGGTGTGAATGCGCACGCTGACGACGCCGTGGTGATGATGGTGACGACTGCAAAGGTAAAACACCAAAATGGTGGCTGTGATGCTGGTAACGGTACCGTGCGTCCGAGACGGTCGGGAGCGTCCACCTCGCAGCCGCCGCCCGAGCCAGAGGCCTCTCCCTCTGGCCGTGCGCGCGGCGAGGCCTCGGGCGCCCGCCCGGGCGGGCCACCGCGCGGTGCACGCCCGCGGTGCGGCAGTGCCCCCGAGGCTGCGATGCCGCAGCGGCGCGGTGCACGCCGCGAAAGGGAAGAGGCAAAACGTGCACCCTGGCCGAAGCGGCGGGGGCCTGCGCCACAGGGGCCGCCCGCCAACTCAACAACTCAACATTCAAGGGACGGGTCCTGAGGGACACGGGTTGACCTGGAGGCCTTCCCCCAGGACGAGTTCTTCATCCTGAGCCGTTTTCTGGCAGCCCCTTGGCCCGTGGAGGGCCCGCTTTGGTCCTCGCCATGCAGGAAGCGGGTCCTGAGGGAAACGTGTCCCGAGGTTCTTCGCCGTTTTCGGGCTCGCGGGGCCGCTCGCCTTGTCGGCAGGGCGGCCCCTGAGCGGAAGAGAGCCGAGGAGCGTGCCCCCCCTCTGTGGTCGGAGTCTGACAAAACATCCGTTGGCAGACTCCCTGCAGTGACAGCTGCCAAGGGCACTCCACGTGCGCACAGCGCCGCAGTCCGAGCTGACCCCAGCGGGGTTAGCCAATCGACGCCCCACAACAAGCAAGAGGCAATTCGATTAGCGAAACTGACTGGGGACTGCACTGGTACACTCGAATGCCCATGTCGAATGAACCGGTGCAGATTTCCACAGTCGACTTGTAGAGAGGCCTCCCAGATGGGGCCCGAGCAGATGGGGTCGGAGGATCGCGCCGTATCGCCGATGCATCGGCGACTGCGGCGAAAATTAGGCTCCGTACCGAGCCGCATCGCCGATGCATCGGCGATGCGGCGCGATCCTCGGACCCCATCAACTCAAACCCCAATTGGGAGGCCTAGAACCGGTACGCTCGAATGCCCATGTCGATTGAACCGGTGCAGATTTCCTCTGTCGACTGGTCTCGGTGGAGGGATGGGTGCTGCCGCTGCCCTGGCGCCTCCTCGTCGCCGTCGTCCTCCCCGTCGTGGTCAAGTGCGGTGGCGGCCACTCACAGCGGGGGGGGGAACCTGGAGGAGATCTTGGTCAATACGTGCTGGTTGCTTGACCTGTAGTGGGCCAAGCCACTCCGGTACGTAACACGCAGCCCGTAGCGTATTGGCACTGATCTCAGCACGTAGACTGACTGAAAACGTAGCTCTGGCGCGATATGTTCGCCAAAACGTGGCCAACACGCAACGTGTGAGCACGGACGTTTTGAACATGGTACGTCTTGTGTTTCAACACGGGGGTATCAGGGCAGGTAAGGCAGTGGGCTTCCCCCCCACCTCCCTCCTGTCCCATTCTCCCGATGGCCCCCCCCCCCCTCCTGCCTTCCGATCTGCGGGGTCGCACCCCGCTGGGCGTGCCCTCCAGCCGCGCGCAGAGCGCGCCCAGGCAGCGGCTGCCGGTTTCGAGCACACAGCGAGGCCGCTCGCGCCCTCGTCCCGTCGGCGAAGCACACGATGGCAAGGACCGACGCGTGTGCCCCCTTCAGGGGGCCTGCGCCACTGTGTCCTGACGCCGCGCACAAGGGGGTAGCGGTAGGGGGAGGGGGGAAGGCTTCTCAGAAGGAGGTTGCTTCTTAGAAGGCGCCGACCCTACACCTATAGATAAGGCCCGCGCCTCCTCAGCAGCATGGGCTCTTCTAAGAAGCCTTCCCCCCCTCCCCCTGCCCCCCTCTGCGCGCGGCCAAATGTCCGCTCGTCGGCAGAGCACGGCCTCGCACGACTGCTGGTGCCAGCTCACCAGAGGCCCGCGACGCACGCCCCGCCGGCGGAGCGTCACAGGGCAGAGGAACCGCAGCGCGTGCCCCGACAGACGGGGCCTGCGCCGCTGGGCCACCCAGCAGCTGTGTTGTTGCGCCGATGCGCCAATTTCCAACGGCCTTCGCCACCGGGCCGCTTCATCCAATGGAGGCCGGCCGGCATCACAGCACGGCGGCCCGTGCGCGTGCCACAGTGAAGGCCCGAAAGGGTCGATCGCCGCCGCGCCGACCTTGAACGTTTTCGCTGAGGCCGATGCTGAGCCGATGCCTCGCGCCGGAGGGGTGTCCAGGGCACGCCCGCACCCAGGCCCACTGTCCTCACGCTCTTGGTCCAGTCGCCGCACTTCACGCAGAAGAGGTACCCCCCTGCTCTGGGCAACTCGTGCGGCGAGTGCGCCTCCCGCGTCCGCCACGGCCGGCGGCAGCCGAGGCGATGGTGGAAGAGAGGCGGCCCCGCGATCGCTGACGCCCAGGCGGGGCGGCAACTGCAGGCTGTCCGTCGCCGCGTCGGCTGCCGTGCCCCTGGTCACTGTGCGTCTCTCTGCTGCCGCCGAGGCTGGCCCCGCTGCGCTGCCGCGCCCGCGGCTGGGAGCCCCGGGAAGGCCGCGCCCCGCGCACCGGCTGCAGGCCCGCGCTGCCACGCCCTTGCTGTCCAGAGAGGGTGCCGAGGGCACCCCCGCGGGCGAGGCGGCGCCGGGCTCTGCCAAGCTGCACAGAAGCAACCTCCCCGAGAGAGGCCTCCGACGGCTCTCCCAGAACAACGGGGGACAACAAACTGGCACCCTGCCCAGCACAGATCAGCGCGCCAGCATCCGCCTGGCGGGGCCCTGGGCGCCTGCCCTGCTAGTCGCCGTCGTCGCCGTCGATCGCTGCCGTCGTCGTCCCACGTCCATCGTCCCATTGCGTCGTCGTCGCTCGTCGTTCGTCGCATTCCGTCGTCGTCCGTCGTTGGTCGTCGTCGCCGTCATCGTCGTGATCGTCGTCGTCGTCGTCGTCGTCGTCGTCGTCGTCGTCGTCCCTCGCCGTGTCGGCGGGGGCTCCAGGTGGCCGCCCTGCTCGCACCGCCCCAGCAGCAGGCCGCAGGCGTACCGGCCCGGCTGCAGGCGCGACCCCTCGGCTCCGGTGCCGCGCGGGGCGCTGGCGCGCGCGGCCCTGTCGTCGTCGTCTTCGTTGTCGCAGTCGTCTTGGTCGTCGTCTTGGTCTCCATCTTGGTCGTTGTCGTCGTCGTCGGCGTCGTCGTCGTCGTCGTGGTGGTCGTCGTGGTGGCGGTGGTCGCCATGGTAGAGGTCGTGATGGCCGTGGTCGTGTTCGTGGTGGTGGTGGTTGTAGTGGTGGTCGCCGTGGTGGTTGTGGTCGTCGCCGTCGTGGTCGTGGGGTCGTCGTCGTCGTGGTGGAGGTCGTGGTGGTGGTCGTGGTAGTCGTGGTGATGGCGGTGGTGGTCCTATTCCTCCTCATCATCCGCCTCGTCCTCTCGATTCCTCGTGCTCCTGTTCTTTCTCTTGATCCTCCTCCTCTACGAGCCTCTCGAGCTCCCCATGAGGATGCCGCGAACAACATATATAAAACAACCTGCTTCCTTCTTCTCGCCTTACCTCTCTCATCCGGGACTGAGAATAATTTCTCGATTGTTTTCGGATGCCGACGGGACTGTCGTGCGGCTTACATGCGTTATCCACCGGAAAAGAGAAGGATTGGGGGGATGGATGAAGGATGAGGGGATGAAGAGGAGGAGAGAGGAGGATGAGGAAAAGGTATGATGCGCTACCATCATGTATGCTACCAGGGACATCCTGCGTAGCAGACATTTGCCATCGTCGACCCCACGCAGTGCGTTATCGCACCCTGGATCTGTATTGGATGAGGTCTAGGCTACACGAATGCGCGCACTTGGTACTACTTTACAAGGCTGCCAGGGGGGGGGGGGGTCGACACCGGTTTGGCTGGGAGGGTGTGATTTCTCTTGGAAAACAAGCGATGAGGCAATCTCATATGTAAATTGCAACGCGTGGTGCCCCAGGGGTCATGGATCATCCCAGGCTCGGGGGCTGGTAGAGTCTAGTGTTCATGTTCAATGGGAATCAACGCTGACAACATCCACGCGTGACCACCTCCAATGTTCGTGCGAACATCCCACCTGCCCACCCGCGGGTTGTTGGGACATCTCAACTAGACGGCGACAACAACGATGACGATGACGATGATGTTCATGACAACGGTGGGGGCGCTGTTGACGACGATGGTGATGGTGATGAAGCTGATGGCGACGTGCAGCAATGTGACGAGGTCGACGGTGTCAACGACGATTATAACGGCGGTGGTTATGGTGACGACGGAGATGGCGATGGTGATGATGATGAGGGTGATGATGGCGACGGTGGTGATGGTGAGTGTGATGATGATGCTGAGGATGAGTCTTGTGGGGATGATGATGACGACGACGACGATGACGAGGATGATGATCAATACTCACGTTGAAGACAAGGGACGAGAAGAGGGCAGGCGGACAAGAGGCGACAAGAGGGCAGGACGCGAAGAGGGCGAGCGGACAACAAGCGAGACGAGGGCAGAACAGCCGCCCAACGGTGACGAGCTTTGAAATCAGCCGCATTCTGGACATCGAGGCTTGCATGTCACTAATAAGATCTACAATCGACTGCGTCTGCTGCTTCTGATTATGTTCGTTCCGCCGATGCCTAGCATGCGCTAAGGAAGCACAGCGGGCTGCGAGAGACAGACTATAGCTCTTGCGCTGCCGACTGTCGGCAAAGCGCGAAAATGCAACGGGAGGGCAACTAGCAGGGAGCTCGCGCGGGGCCGGAAGAGGTTCCCAACAGCCGACAGAGCGAAAACGCTGCGGTTCGGGCTCTACGGCGGGCTCAGGGATCAACTCAGCGAGCTTCAGGCACCTCGGAAGTTCCTTTTCGTCATGAGGTCGGTCATCCGGAAGTTCATCAGCAAGTCCTGCAAGTAACTCCATACTGGCGCACGGCGTGAAGTGCTTAAGAACGGAATCGGCGACATTGGAATTCAGAAGCTTCTTGACCATGGTGCTCGAGATCAACTTCTGCTTGCGCGCCATGTGAACAGCTCCGCGGAGGTTAGCGAAATGACGCTGCATCCTGTCAGAAAGCAGCGCTTGCGCACTCCTAACCGTTTCGTGGATTTCGCCAGGATGAGGAGACTTCGGAGCAGTAGAACGAATTGCATGCAACACATCGACCAGGAGCGACGCGTCATTAACGAAGAACTTGATGTCACCATGCACGATGGCTATCGGAGCAAGCACGCGCGATGGCGGCGACCCACTGGCCATGCTGAGGAAGCCTGGAGTGAGCGACGAAGGGAAGCAAAACAAACCGTGCCGCAGCCTTGAGCCAAAAAATGGCTACGGATGATGATGATGATGATGATGATGATGATGATGATGATGATGATGATGATGACGGTGGTGATGGTGATGGTTATTGTGATCGTGATGGTGGTGCTGATGATGGTTGTGATTCTGATGACGCTGGTGATGATGAGAACAACTGCAAATGAGGATGGTGAGGAAGAGCGCGCTCGCATAAACTCAGACTTCTGCGAAAAGCCAGTGGGCCGTCGTATGTCCAAGGGGCATCCGAGAGGCCACCATGAGACCCCCGAAGGGCCCCAAACAGGCCTCCAAGAAACCCCAGGAGACTTCTAAGAGGCCTCTGGTCCACAGCCGAGATGCGGCGGCGTGATGGGCCGAAGGCCAGTCATCCGCCACCCTCTGTTGCTTGCAAGAGGGGTGCCCAGCGTACTGAATCCTATCGTTTTTGGTTTTGGCTCTTTTTCCAGAAGAACTCCCCCTGGGGCTCCGGCGCGTCCCGCCGGCCACCCGAAAGGATGCCGAAAATTTGCCCGGACCCGGCTCCAAAGAGGGTTTTTCCCAGTCCAGACGGCTCCACGACGGCCCAAGATGGCCTCCAAGATGCATCCCAGACGGCCAAGATGGCCTCCAAGACGGCTAAGATGGCCCCAAGATGCTTCCAAGACGGCCCAATATGTACCCAGGATGGCGTCAGATAGCCTCAAGATGGCCCAAGACGGCCCAAGAGGCCTCAATACGGCCCAAGAGGCCTCCAAGAGGTGCTCCAGGCGGGCCCGCACAAGCCAAAATCATATATTCTCCTTGGGTTTTCGAAGGATTTGGGCATTTGCCTCCTCTCGGCATTCCGGCGGCTCACGACGGGCCAAGAGGCCGCCAAGATCGCCCCACCATCGCCCACGAGGCCTCCAAGAGGGCCCCATGACGGCCCAAGAGGCCCCCAAGACGGCCTCAAGAGGGCCCCAAGACGGCCCAAGAGACCTCCAAGACGCCCAAGATGGCCTCCAGGAAAGCCAGGAAAAGGTAAAAAAACACGGACTTCCTAAGGTTTTTGAAGGATTTTGGCATTTGCTTCTTTTCGGCCTTCCGACGGACCGAGACGGCCCAAGAGCCCCCAAAGATCGCCCAAAGGTCGCCCAAGAGGTCTCCAAGCTGGTTCCAGAACGGCCCAAGAGGCCCCCAAGACGGCCCCAAGAGGTCCCAAAGACGGCCCAGGAGGCCTTTAAGACGCCCAAGATGGCCTCCAAGACGGCCCAAGATGTACCCAAAATGACGTCAGATAGCCTCAAGATGGCCCAAAAGGCCTGAATACGGCCCAAGAGGCCTCCAAGAGCTGCTCCAGGAGGGCCCAAAGAGGCCAAACTCATTTTTTCATAGGTTTTTGAAGGATTTGGGCATTTGCCTCTTCTCGGCCTTCCGACGGCTCAAGACGGCCCTAGAAGCCGCCAAGATCGCCCCACCATCGCCCACGAGGCCTCCAAGAGGGCCCCATGACGGCCCAAGAGGCCCCCAAGACGGCCCCAGGAGGGCCCCAAAGATGGCCTCCAAGACGGCCCCGAAGCGCCCCAAGAGGACCTCAAGTCGGTTCAGATAGGCCCCCAAGACGGCTCCCGACGGCGTCATACGTGCCAGGAACCCACCAAGATGACCGAAGAGGCCCCCGAGAAGTCCCAAGAAGGCCCCAAGAGGCCCTCAAGAGGCTCCAGGAGAGCCCGAGATAGCACCAACATGACCTCCAAAATGGCCCCAAGATGGCCCAATCGAGCCCAAGAGTACCTCAAAAGGCTCCGAAGAGGCATCCTCCCCCTTCTCCTTTTTCCTCCTTCTCCCCCTCTTCCTCTTCCTCCCCCACGTGTTCCCCGAAGGCTTTCCAAACCGACTCGGGGAACACATGGTCCGATAGCTTCGCCCCAAGATGCCTCCAAGACGGCCCAAGATGCCTCCAAGACGGCCTAACATGGCGTCAATATTGCCCAAGACGGCCCAAGAGGCCCCCAAGAGGCCTCCAAGACGGCCCAAGAGGCCTTCAAGAGGTCTTCCAGGAGGGCCCGAAGAGACCAACATGATTAATTGTTCCTACATGTTTCAAGGATGTTGGCATTTGTTTTTCTTTTCGCCATTCCGACGGCTCAAGACGGCCCAAGAGGCCTCTTCCTCTTCCTCATCATGTTCATTCGCCCCCACGTGTTCCCCGAAAGCTTTCCAAACTGATTCGGGGAACACATGGTCCGATAGCTTGGCAGGCCTCTGGCCGCAACGTTCGGCCACCTAGGCGCGTCCGAAAGGGCAGGGGGCGGCGGTGATTCGCCGTAGGCGTCTTCGATTGGATGGATGCAGCCGTGGATCGTGGCTCGGGACGGCGCTGGGTGGCCACCGGCCGGAGACCTGGACATGCCCGCCGTCGGTCGCACGGGGCGGCGACGAGGCGGCGACGGGCGGCCACCGCGCGCAACCCCGGCAGTCTTGAGTCTGTTCCGAGGAAGAGGTAGCCGAAAGCCGCTGACTGCAACCAGTGGTTGGGAACAACCCCTGCGTGTCGCGGGATGTGCCAGAGCTTCGGGCAGAGGAGGATACCATATCAGGTCTCCAAGCGTCGCAGAAGCTTACCATGGCCCAGCCTTATCACTTGCTCGCTGCACTCTTGCGTGCTTCTATCGGCAACGCACACACGGGTGACCCCAGACAAAAGTGGCATCTGGTGTGCGGCATTCTGGGGCCGAGGGGGCCAAACCCAAGCGCGCAGGGCAGTGTTTGGGGGGGGACCCCTGCAGGTAGGGTCGCACCCAAAGGTCGCTCGGGCGAACGGCCACCCTCACGCGTAGCCGACTCCCTGCCCGTGGCCTCTTCCGTGCCTTTGGTCGGGCACAGCTGCGTTGCTGGGAGGGGCCTCTGCATAGACGCCCCCCACAGCTGGCGCGCGGCAGGCTCTGAGCGCCCCGCCCGCATGGAGTCCAGCAGCTCCCATACCAGGTCCTCGGGGGGGAGGGAGGATGAGGCGGAGGAGAGAAGGAGGAGGAGGATGAGGAGGAGGAGGAGGAGGAGGAGGAGGAGGAGGAGGGAAAGGAGGAGGAGGAGGTCAGGTCAGGTCAGGGCAGGATAACCTCAAAAACTCCTCAGAGAGAAGACTACCGGGGGGGTGAAGTATTTGGGTCTCAGCCCAGGAGGAGGCGGAGGTGGAGGGGGAGAAGGATGGGAGGAGGAGGAGGAGGAGGAGGAGGAGGGGAAGGATCATGAGCAGGAACAGGAGGAGGAGGAGGAGGAGGAGGAGGAGGAGGAGGAGGAGGAGGAGGACTAGTGTAAACCCAAGAGTCACCAACGATGTTGGGATAAGCCCTCCCCCCAAACTCCCCCTTCATTAGCCGATACAGCGATTTACTTCCACAGAGGGACCTGCCTCGTTGGAAGACAACCGTTTGAAGACCCTGAAACATGCCCCAAAAATGTTGTCGGCATTACAACGCCACGTATAAACCGGACTATTGCGTCTTGACGATCCTGCATCATGCCAGAAAACCATTCCTGGGACTTCAACACCGCGAATCATCGTAACTATCGCGCCTTCATACTCGTGAATCCTTCCAAAACCATTTCTGGTAAGTCGATCATGGGAATCCGTGAAACTCTTGTACATTTTTTAAAAGCGAGAACCAGATTTTGAAAAGGAACACCCCTCAAACCGTGATTCCCTTGCAAATGTTTAAAACGGATGTGCGCGTCGCTAAGGCGAGAACTACATTTTGAAAACGACCCGCCCTCAATCCATGAAGCTCCGCCCTCAATCCGTGAAGCTCTTGCAAATTTTACAAACGAATGAGCACGGCACTAAGGCGATAACCACACGTTAAAAACCACCCGCCCTCAATCCGTGAAGCCCTTGCACATGTTAAAAGCGAATGTGCGCGGCGCTAAAGCGAGAACCACATTTTGAAAACCAACCGCCCTCAATCCGTGAAACCCTTGCAATTATTCTAAACGAATGTTCGCGGCGCTACGGCGAACGCCACATTTTGAAAACCACCCGCGCTCCATCTGTGAAACCGTTGCCATATGCTAAGCTTCAAGGTCACAGATGATGAGGAAGTCTCAGGCGAAACGCCCGGCCCGCCCCAAAAACTGGCCTCGACAGGGATAAATTATTTCCAAGGAGAGGTAATGGAGGGGGAGAAGGAGGAGGAGAAGGAGGAGGAGGAGGAGGAGGAGGAGTTGGTTGCACAGTCCGCAGCTTCGAGCTTCGAGTAGGATGAGGAGGAGAAGGAGCAGGAGGCGGAGGAGGAGGAGGAGGAGGAGGACCATCACCAGGAGGGGGATCCTTTTCCCGCGGTCTCGTGGCAGCTGCCGAGATGCAGCCCGACGTCAGCTCAGCGAGACGCCCGACCAGCTCACTGTGGGCGGCCTGCCGAGCCTCAGCGCCGACGCCTCCGCGCCCAGCACCTCGTTCACGCGCGCGATCTCCTCGTCCAGGAGCGCCGCCAGCGGCGTCTCAAGAAAGAGCAGCAGCGCCCGCTCCCAGTCGGCGGGCGGGCAGTCATGGCGCAGCAGCCGGGCCGCGCAGCGCTGCAGGGTCCCCTCCCTCGCGGCCGCGGCCACGACGTCCTTAGAGGCACAAGAAACGGCATACGGACAAACTCTCGGAGCTCCGCGCGGATCTCCTGGATGGCGGAGCGCGCCAGGGGCGCCGCCGGAGGCGTCGCCAGGGGGGCCCAGCGCAAGTCCGAGAAATCTGCGCGGAGTTCATTCATTTCATGTTCGTGCCCCTTTACTTTCTTTGAGTAGTCCTGCGCAGGGCTGTCCGGCTGCGCGCCCGCCCGCCCGGCGGCCGCCGAGGCGGACAGCGCCGCAGGCGCCGCGGGCGCCGCGGGCGCCGCTGGGCCGGCGACGGCGCCCTCGGCGCCGCCGGGCGTCCTGCGCTGGGCCGACGGCGGCGCCCTCGGCGCGGCCGCCGCGGCCGCCGCGGGCGGCGGCGGCGGCTCCCTCGGGGCGGAGGGCGGCTTCGGCGCGGGCGCGGCGGGCCGCGGCTGGGCCTCAGCCCTCGGCGGCGGCCGAGGCCGCCGCGCCGTGGCCTCGGCCTCGGCCTGGCGCGGGGCGGCGCCGCCCGTGTCCCGCGCAGGTGGCCGCAGCACCCCCGCCCTCCATCGGGGCCTGTTCGCCGTCTCGGGGTGCGCCCTGGTGGCCCGGGCGGCGGCATCCGACCTGTGGCGGCGCACACAGGGGCACAGACCTCCAACGCGTGGAACGCATAGCCAGCGTGGACCCCAAGCAGTGATGTCTGCAGTCCATGTGGTACAATCTATGTGGTGCAAGCTTATGTGCGTGGTGCACTCTGTGTGGATCAATCTGTGTGGTGCAGTCGATGTGGTGCAATATTTGTGTAAGCTACGTGGTGCAACGTATGAGGCCCAGTAGCAACAGCGACTCCAGCATATCGAACAAACCACGGGCATCTTTCGCTGTGTTCGGCCTCCGGAGCCCCTCGCCCGGCCCCCAGACCGTGAAACAGAAATAAGCAGCCGGCCCTGGGGCTGAAGGGCCGGGGTATCCGGACCCCGAGTGGACTAATCCAAGACGTCAGGTGTCTCGGGGGGAGGTGGCGCGAGGTGGGGCGGGCTGCCCAGAGGGCCGGGGGATGCTCTTGGGGGAAGGCGGGGGCCTTCTCGGAAGGGCCAAGGGGGCCTCTGACCAGCAGGAGGCTTCTGGACGCCAGGGCGGCTTCGGAGAGGCCGCCCTGCCCCCCTCAGAAGCCCGCCCCCGGCGTTTTTGCTCGTGGCCGCCCCCCTCGCGCCACCCCTCGGGTGCGCGCCGCCAGGCCCTGACACCCGCCGATGTGATCAAGTCCGTCCACGGCCGCAGAGGTCCGGACCGCTTCCCTGAGGGGGGTGGCTCTTCGCCCGGGGATGCGTCTTTGCTGGCCCCGTGGCCCGACGCCGGCCCCGGGGGGCCGAGATCGAAGAAGCACGCGGGGATCGGACCAACTTCTGCGGCAACTCGTGGGCGCCTACCATACGCTCTGGTTGGCTCTTGGAGAATTTGGGCTCATCGACGCTACATCGACGCAAGTCGACGCTGCATCGGCGCTTTCCAACGATTGCCAGACAACAGCGCACGCCAATACACTCGGAAGACGGGGTTCCGAGGACATGCGGTGCTCACCTTGCTCGTATGGCGCTTCAAGCCCGTGCCTTTTCCAGTACGCGTGTCAACGTTTCGCCCCTGCTGGGGCTCGTCAGGACTCGAATGAGAGTGGCAACGGCATGCGAACACAGCAAGTGCATGACGTCAACGCACGCCACTGCTCTCTGAGGACGGAAACCCGAGGACACGCGATGCTCACATGCCTTGCTACCGAAGCAGACCAATTCGTCGAAGATCTGGGCCTGTGCGCGCCGCCATGGACCGGAGAGCTCCAAGCAATATACCGCCACAACCAGCCCTGGCCAGGCCCATCCTGGGCCCCGGACTGGTGCTCACAGGCCCTCCTGGCCTGGGCCTGGAATTCTATACATGGTTTGGGGCGCATGTTTTACTTCCGCCACCTTCTGCCGCCCTTCCGCCGCCTTCCGCGACGGAAGAGATGACAACTCCTTCGATCCTCGAAGGCAAGGCCATTGTTGGAAAACCTCGCATCATTCCAGGGCCCATGGTGGACCTGGCCAGGGCTGGTGATGTACAATCAAGCCGAGGTATAAGGTCGAGGTCGGTTTTCGGGGAGAGTGCCCTAATGTTCTTCGCGTTTGTTAGATGTTCTTGTATCCTGGGGGGGCCCTCGAGAGCTCGTCAGTTTGGCTGGCGGAGGGTCTCATGTTCTCGAAGGATGCTCTGTCCCAGGTCCGACTGTGTTGTTGGCGTCCCTCCGAGGGGACCTGGAGCGGGGCGCAGACGAGCTCGCCGAGACCCGAGTGGAGCAGCTCGACGAGGCCCTGGAGCGGCTCCTGGCAGCGGCGCGGCCGCCCGCGTCCCTGCGGATGCTGCAGGCCCAGGACGCGCGCGGGGCGGCGCCGTCCTCCCCGTGGCACGGGGCCGCGGGCACCCACGTGCGGAACAGGAGCGCGTCCCCCTCGTCGGCTGCACGCCAGGGTGGCCCTGCAGTCAGGCCCAGGCCAGAAGAGGATCCCTCAAGAACGTGAGGCCCTCCGATGGCCAAGACACGCAGAACATCCAAGGGCACCCTCCCCAGGATGCACAAGAGCATCCAACAGGCACGAAGAGCACTAGGGCACCCCCCCCGAACCGACCTCGCTCTGATACCTCGGTCCGGCTGTACACTACGGTCAGAAACTTTTGCACGGCGTGTCGCGGCGGCGGCCTGGCGACGCGCTGTGCCCTGTGAGATAAGAGCGAGTCGCTCCGCTCCGCGGGGCGGGAGGCTAGGAACGGCTGGGGGCGTTGACGCTCGGGAGAGGGGACGTGGACAGCGTGTCGCGCCGAAGCGTGGTGGGCCAGAACTGGCGGAGCGACAAGCTGAGCCAAAGTTCCTGGGTCGCACCCCGGATAGGTAATGCAGATCTCGCGCACGGTCCGCTTCCCCGCGCCCCTCAGTGTCGAGGTTCGCGCGGGACGCCGCACGCTCAGACTTTTCCCGCCGTCGGCCGCGGCCGACTCAACACTGAGATCGGGGGTCCGGGGCCCCGGTTGTCCAGGGGGGTGCAGTCAGGAGCAACTTTCGGCGCGCGGCTTGCCTGCCGTGGCGTGCGACGCCACGGCAGAGGCCTGCGTGCTCGGGCTCTGCCCCCCCCGCGCCCCCCGAGAGCCGCACTCCACAGGTCACTCCAGCAGAGGGTTACCCTCGCGCGTGGCCGACCTCGGCGAGCAGGGATGCCAGCAGCCCGGGGCCCAGGTGGTCGCGCGCGAAGAGGTGCTGGCCACCGTCGCCGTCCAGCAGCACTCCTGTGGGAACTCTTGCTCAGCGTGTCGCGGCGGCGGCCCTGGCGACACGCCATGCCCTGCGAGCTGAGAGCGTGTTGCGCCGCTCCGCGGGGCGGGAGGCTCGGAAAGGCTGCGGACGTTGACGCTTGGAGCTGGGGACGTGGATAGCGTAAGCCGGATCGTAAACTTTCGGGGGCCCGCCCGGATTTCATCGGACTTCCCGCATTGGCGCTGGACCCCCCTGCTCGGGGTTCCGAAACGGAACGGCGACAGACCGTGCGGTGACCTCGGAATCCCCAACGCCCTCGCTGCACGGTCCGTCACGGCACGGTTTTTGGCCCCTGGAGGCCCCAATCGCTGGAGACGTCCTTGTTGAAAGACTCAAATTCCAAAACCGTGCGGTCACCTCGAATCCCCACTGGCTCACCACACGTTGTGGTCAGCGCACCGTTTGAGGGGCGGCGCTGGAGGCCCCGCTGAGGGGGTCTGGCGCCGTTCCGAGCAATCCACGCAGATTTCCGAACATTTGCAGTCACCTTGCCACCACAAGGGAACAAATGGGCTTTTCTGGCCACGGCGAGCCTCGGCCACGAATGGATTCCCAATGGTTCCCATACCTAGACTGAAGGAGCAGCCCGAACACCGTAGCACCCCCTGAATCTAAAGTGGTTCTTACTCCAGCGTCTTTACTGTTCAGTGTACAATCAGGAACTGATGCATAGCGTGTCGCGGCGGCGGCCCCAGCGACACGCTGTGCAGTGCGATTGGATAGCTTGTCGCTCCGCTCCGCGGGGCGGGAGGCTCGGACAGGCTCGATGTGCTGACGATTGGGGGCTATAGGACGTGGATCGCGTGTCGCGCCGTGGCATGGAAGCCAGAACCGGCGGCGCGACACGCACGCAGCTTGGAGGCGGCCGGGGGGTCTGAACTGGTCGGGGCCCCAGCAGATCGGTCAGGAAGGGGGGTTGAGGCCGAATCCAGGCAATCAAAGTCGGGCCCCGGACGTCTCGCAAGGTCCATGCGTACTCTTTCACGCGGGATCCGTTTCTCACGGCCCCGGACTCTGAAATCAGCCCCCTGGACCCTGGAGGCCGAAAGAGGCAAACAACCTTCCCGAATCTAGAGCCTCGAACCTCTTCCCCTCCTTCCTGCTGGCAGGAACCAATGCTGGGCCACCTCAGACTCCCAGCCGACTCCGACCTGACCGCAGCTATGCGTGCAACCCTCTCTTCTTCGGGCTCCGTAGGCGTAGGGCACGCGGACGCACCCGGGCTGCCACTGCGCCAGCACGCCCTTCGTGAGCAGGCCGTCCTGCTCGACGCCCGGCGGCGCCTGCGCCGGCGCCCGCGGGAGCCGCGGGGCCCCCGCGGGGCCCCAGTGGGCGGCCATCGCCGAGCGGCCGCGGCGCCCGCGGGAAGGGACAGGGGAAGGGAGGAGAACCTCAGGAGGTCTTTCGTTTTGACCACCCCCGTGTCACTCTGCGGTGAATAGGACTGGTCCTGAAACGTCTTCCTCCTCCTCCTCCCCCCTCTCCCCCTTCTCCTCCTGCTCCTTCTCCTCCTCCTCCTCCTCCTCCGCTGCCGTCGTCGTTGTTACGCGGCGGGTGCCGCGGGAAAAACAAATTAGTTACCCCCTATTGGTGGGACCCCAGTGCTTCAACAAGGCCGCCGAGAACACAACTAGTTGCTGTATCTTCTGTTGGGGAGGGGGTTCTAAAGACTTCTCGCGGTTACGGTGCGGAGCTCTTGGACAGCGTGTCGCGACGGCGGCCTCGGCGACACGCTATCCCCTGCGAGCAGGCAGCGTGTCGCGCCGCTCCGCGGGGCGGGGGACTGGCAAAAAAGCTCGGCACGTGGGCGCCTGGAAGTGGACAGCGTGTCGCGCCGAAGCGTTGGAGGGCCAGAACCGGCGGAGTGACACGCTTTCCCAGAGTTGCCGACCGCAGGGGGGGGGGGGAGGGGGGGGGGAGACGTGGGGGAAGGGCGGGGAGCGTGAGGAGGGCGACAGGGGCCCAGGGGGCAGGGACGGAGAGGCCGGGGCCCTCAGAGCCGGGCGACGCCACATCACAATCGCGACGGCAAGCTCTTCGTCGATTCATGGCCCCCGGAGGCCGTCTCCCGGCCCCGGGGCCGTCACAAGTCTCAAGGACAGGGATGAGATCTCCTGGGGGCTGGGGGCCGACGCCACGAACAATGGCGACGTCGGAGGAGAGAGGAGAGGAGGGGGAGGGGGGCGGACCTGGAGCCAGAGTGGCCACGGGCAAGGACCAGGAGGAGGGAGGCCGCGGCGGAGGTGGGGAGGGGGAGGCCCCGAAGCGGGTCAGGAACGAGCCAGCAACACCGCTCCTCGAGGGTATCATCGACCTCGAACTTCCCCTCTTTTTGTTTCGCCCTCTCTGGGTGCACCTCGACGTCGGTTCCCAGTCTCATTGTTTCTCCCCCTCCTCCTCCTCCTCCTCCTCCTCCTCCTCCTCCTCCTCCTCCTCATCCTTCTCCTCCTCCGTCTGGAGCTGCTTCGTTTGCGGCGAAAGTCTGGATGTCTTCGGGGGGTCAGGCCTCTGGCCCCGTCTGGGGCCTTCAGAGAGCGACCCGGGACGAGAGGCTGGACCGTGGGGAGGGGTCGGGAGCTCCAGGCCCCGCGTGCTGAAGAGAACACGGCGTCGGAGGGTCTGAACTCGACCGCCGCGCGGGCTGCATATCCCTGGCCTGGGCAGCGGCTGGAGTGGGCTCAGGGGCCGAGCGGGGCTCGGAGGGGAGCTGTCGGGACGGCCCCGCCTCTCCGCACGCGCCCCTCGGGCCCTTTGCCCGGCACTGGCGCCCGACGCGCGGGGCTCTCCGCCAAAGCCGAGGGCGTCCACAAGGCCGGCCTCCGCGCCTTCGCCCAGAATCGGGCCCGAGGTCCCTTCTGTAACCCGGCCAGCCCTTCGGGCTGCTCCTGGCCGCGGCCACGACGAGCCCCCCCCCCCCGAAGCAAACCGAGACTGAGCGAACAAAGACGGAAGCAAAGAGAGGGAGGAGGAGGAGAAGGAGGAGGAGGAGGAGGAGGAGGAGGAGGAGGAGGAGGAGAGAGGAGGGAGGAGGGAGGAGGAGGAGGAGGAGGAGGACATCCGCCGATCTGACTGCTCGATCCGCGGCCCCAGAAGTCCCGACTGGCTCCCCAAGGACAATTTTCCAGCCCGGATCCAGTGTTGATAGTCCTGCAGGGCCCAGAAAACAGCAAAGCCGCCGGTTGGACAGATCATATCGTCGGATAGTTTAGTATGTCCCTCCAGCGACCCAGATAGCCGGCGTCCCGATGTTTTCTAGACGCGGGCCCCCGCACTCTCGACCCCTTCCATGGGACCGGTTTTCAATCCCGAGCTGTTTTTTGACGGTCCCGAGGCCCAGCGCGGGCCCTCAGAGGGGGCCGAAAACGAGGACAGGGCTCTGTCTCGACCTCGTCCAGACGCCCCTGTGGCCTGGGGGCGACTTCGCTCTCTGCTCGCGCGCGCGTGCTCGCCCTCCGCGCGGCGAACTCCCACGGGTCCTCGCGCCCACCGCCCGCGCAGGCCATCAGCCCGGCGCTGCAACACACGACCTCGGCGCCCGGCCGCGGCGCCGTCGCCGGGGCGTCCCCCGCCATGAGATGAGGCCAGGGCGGGGCCCAAATCGGACGGGGACGCCGTCAACCCGTATAATAAGGATGCGCGGCAAGGAAGCAAGGGCCTTGGAAGCCCATGCCGATGCTCTTCGAGCGGGGCTGGTCGTCGAAAGTGGTCGAGGATGGACCGAAGATTACCGAAAAGGCAAGGATGCAAGGGTACCCTGGGGAAGTCGATCATTCTTACAGGGCGGGTTGACTGTAGCTCGGGGAGCTCTGAGATCCCCTGAGCTTCTGGCCTTCCAACTTTTTCAAACCGGGCGCTTCCGCATGATTGAGGCCCCTTTTGCCCTCCTACCATCGAAACGCTGTCATAAGGAACCCTAAATAATGAGCGAGGCCCTTTTTTCCATATTTACAATTCGGTTTCGAAAACCGACATGACAACCTAAGACAAACTGTAAAACATGTAAAGAATACCGAACCCCTCCCCAACGAAAAGGATTCCTACTTCAGCGGTCCGACTGTATATCGATCCGGTTTTTTAAAGTGCAGAAGGACGATGGGGTCCGGGGCTTCGGCCGTAATTGTTACGTCGTTTCAATTTTTGTCGCGTCGTGGGATCTTTGAGATCCAGCAGCCCCAGAGGACGTATCCGGCACCGCGGCCGTTCCATAACCCTCCCGAACCCTCCAGAACACCATGAGGGCGTTCTGGAACGCTCTGGAGCAATTTACCCTGGTCCTGGCCTAGATCGAGCATTTCCAGTCCTCGCAGAGGATCTCTGTGAAGTCCGGGCGGGACCACGTCCGCAGGATAAAGTGTTGTTCAGATGCCTTCGGCGAGCCGTGGGCCGTGGTCGCACCAGCTGGCGCCACGTGGCACCACCCCGAGGTCCGGGGAGGGGGTCCCGAGAACTGCCAAGCGGACGCCCCCCCAAGGCAACAAGCAAAATCAGCACCAACCGCATATGGATCGCCTTTTGTCTGTCTTTGCTGGGGCCAGAGGAGGGTCTGTTCCCGGGCCCCGGGGCCGCCCTTCTTTCTGGATGGCTGGCCAGAATGGGGGCCCAGGACACGTCCGCGGCGTCCCCAAACACGCACTGCGGAGGAACACATGATGCAAGCAAGAAATCTCCATCGTAAGGCGAGCCATCTGTACCTTTGGCGAGGGCTAGGGTTGCCAAAGAGGCAGGCCAGCCCAGCTGGCCTTACAGGCGCCCAGGGAAGTCCAGGGGCCTTCTGTGCACAACCCCATGACTTGCCAAAGGCGCGTCACGCGCTATTCATCCCTGACAACCCACTTGATCCTTGATTGCGCGAGAAGGGCTATACTGAGGAAAGCTTAGGCCAAACTTCGTGTAAGCATCGGCATAGAAACCACCAGCGGGAATGCGCTCACTTACCCAACCAGTCTTGAGCTCTGAATGCAATTTAGTCGGCACGGAGTTCCATAGTACTGAGCCCTATCGCCGTCGAGGCCTGGCTCGCGCCACCTGGGGAGAGAAGCTGATAAAGAAATAAAGCTTTTATCTCCTAATCCCTCCTTTCCATCCGTCCACGTGCTGCGTCTCCGAGGCGATTCGTGCGACGAGAGGCGGGAGAGGACCACAGGATGAGCGGCCTCGCATGTGGGATGTCTGCTGTCCCTCTCCCTCCTCCTGCAGCTGCTGCTGCCGCCCGCCGATCACCCCCCTGGCCCGGATGGCCGTCCAACTATGCGCCCGGCCCCCGGCTGGACGGCTCGCTCCCGCATCTCCGCGAGGAGGTGCAACGCTCGGGCGTCCGTGAGACTGGGGTCGACGGATGCTCGCCCCCCCTCCTCGGCCCCGAGAGGGGGCTAAGGCGTAGGTGGGAGGTGGGTGAAGGTAGGTCGGCCGAACCTCTCTCGATGATCCTCAGGACGTGTGTGAGCGCCAACATCTGCCTGCCCACCCAAGCCCTTTCATGCAACGCAGCCGGCGTGATGACGTCCTCAGGATCGCTCTTTGCCCTACCTTGGAGGCCCGCTGTTGCCAATCGAGCCGCAGCTGCGCCTCAGCCCGAGGCAGACACTGCCCCTGGCTGAGGCAAAGGAGGAGGAGGAGGAGGAGGAGGAGGAGGAGCGAGCGAGCGAGCGAGCGAGCGAGCGAGCGAGCGAGCGAGGAGGAGGAGGGAGCGATGAGGAGGAGGAGCGAGGAGGGGGAGGAGGAAGCCATGCCACAACTGCGGCGTCCACGCGATGGCTGCGATCAGTTGGCTCCCGCCTCCAAGAAGGGGGGAGCGAGGCGGCCGGGGTCGGCCAAGGGCATCCTCGCTTCCTCTCTCTTCTGCTGCACCCCTCTATATGTGTATATATACATCTCTCTCTCTCTCTTCCTCGCTTCCCCTGCTCGGGTCCTTCCGTTTCTTCTGCTGTTGTTGCTTCTCCTTCCCCTCCTCCTCCTCCTCCGCCTCCTCCTCCTCCGCCTCCCTCACCTCCTCCTCCTCGTGCACGACCTCTTCGTGCTCATCCAGGTCCTCTCCTCCTTCTTCTCCTTGTCTCCTTCCTACTTTCCCTCCTACTCCTCCTCCTCCTTCTTCTTCTTATTCCTCCTCCTCCTCCTCCCTTTCCTCCTGCTTCTCCTCGTCCTCCTCCTCCTTATGCGTCTCCTCCTCTTCGTTCTCCTCCTCCTCCTTCTCCTCTTCTCTCCTCCTCCTCCTCCTCCTCCTCCTCCTCTTCTTCCTTTCTCCTCCTCTTCCTCCTCCTCCCTCCCTGCCTCCTCCTCCGTGTCCTCGTCGAGGCCGAAGTCGAGGTCGTGACCCGTTGCCGCTCGTCGTTGTCGTCGTCTT